GGGGAGTATTGAAGTCTAAAGTGATAAGATAAGGATGTAGCCAAATCTTGCGGGGGAGTATTAAGTCCTAAGTGATAAGATAAGGATTAGCCATTTCTATAGCTAAGTATTACAGGTTGTAAGTTATCATATTGTAACTGCTCTCTCTATTTAAAGTGTTGTACAGTAGCAACTGAAATACATTGGGGAAAACCTTAATTCATCTGTTATCTTTTAAGGGTAACATTGAAAAACTATTATTTACTACTTTTTAAAATACTCAAAACGACTTATATTTTGAAACAAAATAATTATTCAAAAACGATTTATGTGTTAGGCAGAGGAGTAATTCTCAATCCACCTAAGAAATAAATGTTTGGCACAAATAAAATTTATGTTTCTTACAAATACTTTTTTTAAAAAAAAAAAAAAATTAGGCATTGCAACAACACAATTGAATTAGGCAAATCCCAATATTAGTTACTAAATCTTCGGCTCAAAACTAAAAAAAAAAAGAAATAAAAATAAATAAATAAATGGTGGTCAAACAATGTTGATTTGATCAATATAAAGCAGTTGCCAACTAACAAAACGATAGGCCATACATAAAATAGAAATACTCAGCTTTCAAACGCTTCTTATCCTATAAATAATAAGCAATCCCTACGACTTTCTCTGCTGTACATGTGCTACATAATCGACCACATCTCTGTCTCTATAAATTACATTGTTAATTTTTTATTTAACACAATCAACATCACCACAGTAGCGGTACAGTACCTAATCATCCATCCACCAGTGAGCATTCGGTTCGATGTTTTCCGGTTAATTCAGTTAATTTTGCTTGGTTTTTCAATGTAATCGGTTCGGTTAGTGATCAAAATCTATTCAGTTTAATCGGTTTCAGTTTAAACAATTTTAATAAACCTAAAAAAAAATGTGCCATTTTTTGAAAATTAAGCCCAAAAAAAAAAAATTTAGGATGACGTTCCTAACTTATAATTAATATATTTAACTTGTAATTAATAGGTAAATCTATTTGATAGAAATTTGTTTCACCTCACCAAGTTAATAAATAATTATTGTTTTGTGTGAGAAATTAGAGTATAGTTTCTAATTTATTTCTATAGAGATGAGAGATAATTATCATTTTTTGTTTGATTAGATATATTGTCTATCTATTACAATAAAGCAATATTTGGTTTTGTCTCTATTATTGAAAATTCAGTTTTTAATTTTTTTATTAGTTTTATTTGGTTCCGTATTGGTTGAAAACTAATCAAATGCTCACCCCTAAATCCGTCCATTTATTATTTTCTTTTCTTCATGCATCAAAAATTCTTCGACTGGTTTGATATTAAAATTTCTCTATTTTTTTTAGATTAGGCCGATTAAAGGGTGATCCAGTACACGAAACATTTTATATGCGTATGCTCTCGAGAAAGATAATATACAACCTTCCCTCTATTGTTTTAGAGAAATTTTTTTCCCTGATTCAAATCCATGACCTCTAAACTACAAGTGGACTAAATTTTGAAAATTTGTATATATTGAAGTTTGATTTAATATGCACTTGAAGTTTTCAAAATCCTGGCACAGTCAAGAAAATAATTATGGGAGTACAAGATCAATTCAAGAAATGGTTGTTAATTTTAATTAATACAAGGTCAATTCCCAGATGAGCTAAAGTGACTGGAGTGTTCAAATTTACAGTGACAACAAACTAAAAGGAAGCAGCAAATTAATACATATGGTTCCAAGGTTCAGTTAGCAGAAAACATAAAAAACGGTTCGTGTGAGCAAGAGTTGAAATTTTAATTAGTTCTAGAACTTTGAAGAAGCTTCAATTAAGAATTTTCTTTCACCGCAGAATCAAATTAATTATTATTTAATAAAACTAATTTTGCATATTGGTCTATTATATTCTGGCTTCTGGTTTTGATAAACCCTTTGTGCTATTATACTTTTTTGTGTATCTATGTTCATTTTTCTTACCACCTTTATCATATATGTATGTAGTATGATTTTTTTTCATAAATTATATTTAGTATGATTAATTAACAAGATTAGGAAGTAAGAATTTTCATATATAAAAGTAGCATTAAAATCAATTTCTTTTATTGAGAATTTCAATTTTAATTTATTTTAAATTTTATTTATTTTGAATTACTATAATTTATTTTCTGTTCATGAAATTACTTAATTATGCTTAATGGTGTACTATGGAACCACCCATGTACTAAATCAATGATTAACTACCATTATCATTATTTTGCTTAAGATTTTATTCAAATTTGCTTCTTAATAATTTTAGTATTGTACTTCACTATTTGAGTCTGCAAAATTAGGAGTGGCCATCAGTGGCCATGTCCCCTAATTTTAAATTTTTTTTTAAAATTTACTTTATAAGGTATAGAAAATTTTATATTTGAATTTTGAATTTCACACCTCTAATATTTAAAAAAAAAAAAAAAAAATCGCCCTCTAACGATTTCTTTTGATTTCGCCACTATCCATCTGAAAAACTTATAAGAAACATTAACTGTGTACATATGAACATTTTTATACAGTGGTATCACGGGGAAGTCGACCTCAATTATAGGTTCAGTTATATACCCCTTCATCCACGCCACTGTTTAAAATTTTTACATAGTCATTAAAAAAATAATTAATTTTCTTAAATTATAATAAAATTCTCCTTAATTTGATCCCTTCATCTCATACCATTAATTTGACTAGAGATGATTTTAGAAAGTTGTAGAAATAGTTGATGTGTTAAAAAATATAAGGGTGAAATTTGAAAAAAGTTCATTAATTTCTCATTAATATTTCCAAAGAGTTAAGTATCTATAAAAAAAATACTCTAAAATGAGTTATATTTGTGGAGAAAGGAAGTATTTAAGGCTGTAAACAAGTAGAGTCCAGTTGAGCTCGTGAGATCGAGCTTGAGCTTGGCTCGTTTAACCATAATCAAGCTTGACCTCAGCTTGATAAACATAAATGAGTTGAACTGCAGCTAGAGCTTGAAATTTATTAAACCAAAACATGTCATTTTAATATAGATTTAATTGATTTTAACTTATTGAGCTCGCTCATGAGTTTGATTCGGCTCGATAAAGCTAGCTCGTGGAGCTAGGCTTGATAAAGCTTACTTACGAGCTGAGCTCGAGCTTGAATTGTTTATTAAACGAGCTCTGCTAACTAAACTTATAGAACGAGCTCGATTGAGCTTTTTATCTTACCGACTCGAGTCTCAAGTAATTCAAGAGCAACTTATCTCATTTACAGTCCTGAAAGGGTTATATTTAGTATTTTGTTTTAGGTAAATAGAAAGGTCCAAATAATCAACTCCGCAAGCAGCTGTTAGAATTAATAGGTCTTCAAATCATTGATTTAAAAAAAAAAAAATGTAAAACCCGACTTATTGGATGATTCATGAGGCCTGGTTGGCCTTGTCTGGACAAACATTCCATAAATGGATTTTATACAACAGTTTCAGAGTTGATTGCGGGCCCTGGGCCACTGCTCATACAGGGACAAAATCAGGCTGACGACATAATCCATAGACTAGTCTTACAGTTATCTACTTTGGAAGTAGGCAAAGCGATTTTGCTGAATTGAACTGTGAAAGACAAGAATATTTGATATGGTAGTGCTGTTATCAATTATCTCCAAAACATCAAACTCAGAACCTAATAGAGGTCATTTTTTTTTTTTTTTTTTTATAAAGCCGGCTCACAAACAAATAAATTACTTTTAATCCTAGCGAAAATTTACTCCATTCATAAAGATGAAGCCATCGATTTTATTAAATAAAAAAAGTGTCGAACCATTTATCTCAACCTTTATTGGTAGATCACTTTTTTTCTGTTAATTGTTAATTACTTGAACAAAATATATGAGAAACAATTAAAAGAACTAATTATAATTGTACAAAACTCTACAAACCTTACCTCCAAAATAGACAAATACAATATTTACCTAGGCCTAACGGCATATGCCTTTTGCTTTCAACACAAACCGCGTGTAGGGGTGTGAGTCCTGCGTCTCTATCCATGATACCATACCATGGTGACCCTATGGACGAAGTAAGGCTATTGGAAATGAGAATAGCATGTTGAATGGCATTTGGACCAAGAATATGAGAGGGGAGACCCGGCGTAATGCTCTCCGCCACCACGGGGCCGGTGGAAATGAGAATAGCATGTTGAATGGCATTTGGACCAAGAATATAAGAGGGGAGATCCGGCGTAATGCTCTCCGCCACCACGGGGACGGTATGCGGGACCAAGCCCTAATGAGCTAGGATGCAGGCATTATGTTCTATCAAGAGGAACTGATGTCTCCATAAAGAAGGAGCTCTATGAACACTATAGAGCCGAGGGCCTATAGTGCATATCTCTCCTGAAGTGGAGGTTTCGGTATAGGCAGGACTATGCTACTCGAGATGCCCGAAGGCATTGAGCCCTTATATAGTTGTGCAAGATTCTTATATATGCATTGCAAGACGAGTGCTACAGTCGGAAAGAATGCAAAGACCCTTCGAATATGCATGGCTGGCCTAGGTAATGAGCTAAGTCTAAGCGTCACACGCATGCCAAAGGCTCCAACGTTCTGGCACCATGACACCGCGTAAAAATATTGTCTGAATAGCCATAACTAGTTGATGAATGCCGACCGAAGAAGTCAAATTACCTGTCAATAACTGAAACATAGCCTGATTGCCACGTTCTACCAGCAGATTAATAGAAAGCCTCAAACTTTCAAGCAAATGCATATTTAATGTAATGTTTACACAAAATTGTGATGTAATATTTATACTAAAAAGATATTTGATTCTATGATATTAATTCCATCAAAGCTTATCAAATATAACCTTGGTGAGATACGAGAGAACTAAGGAAAACTAAAGTACTGATTGCTCCCGTATGCATTATTGTGAACTCATGTGGTAGTACTCGTTTTAAAACATATACAATTTAGGGATAAAAGTAAAAGTAAAAATCACATTTAGTTATATATCAACTTCTTGAAAAAGTATCATCGCTAGACAAATCAAACGGACTCCAATCACCGAACAATAGATTATTAGGATCTTGATCATTTTCAAGTCCAAGAACTGGCTCTTGTGTGACCTGCAAGTTACCAGTATTATCATCATCCCACAAAATCTCTTCTCCTGGCAATGGTGGCAACCCACTTGTGGATTCTTGAATCTTAAAGTTACTAGCAAGTTGTTGTTTATTTGTGGATGAGTCCACTCCACAATAATACATCAATTGATGATCATTTTCATTCATAGAGCCTTCTTCCATAGCAAGACTAGTTAATTCCAAATTTGCACTTGAAATGCCACTGAAATCAAAATCACTACCCAATTCTTGCATTTCGAATCCCGTAGTAGTAGCAGCAGCAGCAGCAGTTATAGTAGTCGGAGCAGCAGTAGTAGTAATTTTAGAATGATCAACTGATTGTGGATTCAAGAAATTTGCATAAACAAGTGCAAGATCAATCTGTGAACCCTCCGATATCATGGAATTATTATTACGAGACTCCATTGGAGGAGAAACCCCTTTATTATTAGAATTATTACCTCCACAATTACCTAATAAGCTTCTTGAATGAGGAACATGTACATCATGAGTACTAGATAGCCTTAAAGATTTTCCTCTTCTATTCTTCCGGCAACCTCCGCCCACGGGAACATTCCTTAACGATCCACCTTTAGTCCAATACCTCCGGCAACCTTTGCAAAAATATCGCGGTTGTGTTAAGCTATAGTTGTTGTAGTAACAAAATTTAGTGTTTGTAGAACCACACCTAGGGCAACTTGGTGATATTTCAACATTAGGCTTCCATCCTCTATCCATCACAAACAAAATTGCTTCAAATCAAAATTTCCTATCAACATGAATTAATTATATGATCAAGAAAAGTGATAGATAGATAGATAGAGAGAGAGAGAGAGAGAGAAGAGAGAAGGGGAGATGGGTGTGTCAATATAGTAGAAAGTGTTCAAGAATGTGTAAATTTTGAGTTAATAATTATTAGGATCTTGGAAATGTGTATGCACTAATGATCCACATGAGTGTGTATTAGGGTTCCGGTGCCATTAAGGGTGATTGGTGATAGGTAACAGCTCCGGAGGCTAATACATGGTGTCGGTGTTTGTTACACGTGGCGCGATTCGATTGATAGCAATGAAGGTAGCAGAGGAAGCAATGGCCTCGAAAGGCTAATCCAGGTTACTTAGAAGAGGAGACACAAAAGATTAAACAAAGCATAGTTTAGTTAGTACAAATGGCATTCCATACCTAATATTCAAATAATACTACAAATGTTAATTAATTACTCTCTTTCCCTTAAGTAAAATCTAAATCTCTACTTCTAAAGTGGGATTTAGATTTTGAACTTTGTAATTAGAAATCTAATTAGCAAAAAAGAAATAAAATTGAAGAAAACAGGTCACGTGTGAGTTGCACATGCAAAGAGTTGTTTCTTGAAGGAGGAATGTCTCTTAGATGTATAGGTTATGTTGAGCAAGTTGAAAAGGATCTCTTGGATCATGGGCTCCTTGGATCATGTGACCTATAATTTATTATCAGTTAGAAATCCAAAGATTTTTAACTTTCGTAACAAGCTCACTTGTGAAAGAACCTGATTTTGTTGATTTGAAGAAGGATCTTGCATGCAAATATTCACTTCCAATTAACGAGTTTTGGTCTTACACTTATTTACATCGAGGTAAATCCAATAAAAAAAAAAAAAACAATATAAATAAGAGTATTGATGTCTTTTTACTGAAAAAAAAAAAAAAAAAGCAGTAACAAAAAGTAATTATTTTTTAGAACAATTAACTATTTGGTGTACATAAATGTTTTACCATTATTTTGTTTTAAAATAAAATAACATTCTGCAAAACAGATATAATTTAGTAGTGAGTGCATATACAACCTGACAATCGATTTATATTCGATCTCTCCCTGATACTTAAAAAATAACCTTCTTTGTTTTCAATCACAAATAACACCGTGACAAGTGTTGTGGGATTATTCAAAGAAAGAAAGACACAAGCATAAAAAAAAGGCACAATTTTAAGACTTAATAGTTTTTTTTTTTTTTTGTTATATTTAATATCAATTTAATGTTTTTAAAAAAAATGTTCCTTCAAATATATTTTAATTCTTATTGCATTTAATATAATAATTAAAAAATAAACGATTGAGAATCATTAATATTAATTAAAAAAACTAAGAATTTATAAAAAAATTCAATAGATAAATAAGAGCATGAAATAACTAATTAATTAATTTACTTGGAAATCAAAATTTGCAAAATAATCTTTGTGAATCTCAAAATATACATCTAATTTTTTTATTTCAATTTTTATATGAGATGACACCTCACCAAAAATTTGATTATTTTTATTCAAAATTAAAGTTTATAATTGACTTGAATTTGTTTTGTGTTTTGATTTTTCCTCGCATAGGGCAAAGTGTTCTTTTCTAAGTGTTTATAGGGATTTTGTACCAAGAGTTCAACTTTAAAATCCCTGATTAAGAAAGAAGGGATCCTCTCTTTCCCAACTCTCCATTCCAAGGTATTTACTTGATTTTATTAATTATTATATTATAAAAGTCAATACCAATTATTTATTTTAACATTTTTCTAGATTTTTTATTAGGAATTAAGCAACAATTTTTTTCTAATTAAAATTTTCTAATATTTTCATGAATTTTAAACTATTTGCTAAATTCTTATAATTTCCTACCTGCAAAGAGAGATGAATAAAAATAACAGAAAAGAAAGGAGAAACGAAATGTTATTAGGTTAAAATAAACAAAGTACTTTCCAAACTTAGAGTAAAAGGTTCTAAAAGGAAGAAACCAATCCACCTGTGAGTTAAAATTTAACAAATTTTTAGTAGACTCCAATCAAGTAGATACACTTTATTTAAAGCCAGCCATAGATGCACCAAATGTTAAACAATCACTTCCTTCAAATTTTACGTTTCATTTGGTAGGCCGTAACAAAATATAATAATATTGCTGTAATAAAATATAATATCATGATTAGGTCTTACATAGTTTCATGTTTGATATGAGAACAGAAATGATATCTTATCCTACAAATACATAATCCAATCAGATTTAACCAAATCTAATTGAACCACAAGGTGCGGGTGAAGACAAACAATACTTGTCATCTGGGAAAATCAAAAACAAAATAAATATATGGGTAAATAAAGAAAAGACAATTCAATGATATTTATCATTGAAATAACAATATATACAGTTTATAGTACAACATTAATGCAAAATTTGAGGGAGTATATTAATAGCTGAATGGATGATTCCTGCAATACAGAAATAAGAGACATAATTCAATGTGGTTTGAACAGTATCCAAAGGGCGTACGCCATCAAACCACAGAACGTTGCTATTGCTGACCCAATCTTTCCTGTAAACCACAAGAAACGTGTCGATCTTAAGCATTGCAGCATAATAACAACAATTTGATCTCATAAATGTGTCTTATGTAAAAGTAAAATGCAACAAATTATCCAGAAAGTCATTTGAGCTATTGTAAGCTGTTCATCGTCATCACTATTTACCCTTGCCCATCTGCGTTCAACTTTTTTAGGAACTCAGAAAACAAGAATCATTAGAATGAAACAATTACACAATGGACAACAGAAGAACAAAACAAACCAATTGTAAGTTTATTATTGGTTCTTACAGGTTCAATTTGGTCCCAGTTCTCTTCTACGAAGAACTAATCAGGTTAATTTGGTTCCTAGTTATACAGCTCAAAATACAAAAGCATGTTAACTTAGTGGGAGTACATTGCTCTACCTGACTGAATCTAAACCTAAAATTTTTAAACCACTCCAACTGTTATTATGAACCAGAACTTCTAACCAACATGGTAAGTGAAAATCCCTGTCAAAGCCAAATTACATTATTTTTATAGAAAAAATATAACAGAAAAAAAGGGAATCAGAAGTTCCAGAAGACACCTCTGGACGAGATCTCTCCTGGAGTTATTAAAATTTTTATGCACAAGCAAATTATATAAAGCATCACTTTCTGTCTTCCCCTCCCTTCAGAATATATATTTCCCCACTTGGTTTGTGTGTTTTGAAGAATATGCAAAATTCAAATTCAAAGCTTTAACAACAAGGAGATTACACTCAGTCCCACAGAAGTTGGGTGCCCCACCTAACTCGCCCTTAGATTTGCATATCCTAGAGCAGATCATCAAAAAATGGAAATGCAATAAGAGGGGCATCTTTTGAACATGCTAACAGAACAAAGGGGAAAATTAAAAGAAAATAAGTCTTTGACCATAATTAGCAAGAGGCAAATACAACCGGCACCTATATAACAAAGCTCTCGCCACAACATATCCCAGCACTTAAAAGAGAAACATGTTAAATAGCAACAAGGTTCTTAGTAATGATAATAACCTGAAGCATCTGCATTAATTTCGGATTCTGCTCCAAAAGCCGACAGAGTTCTTCCTTGTTACTCAATAAAGCCTGCAGTCAAATAAGTGCATAAATGAGTAGGCATTAGGCAAATTAAATTCCAAGTTCATTTACTACATGTGGAATACATACAGTTATAGCTTTAGGATCCTGGAAGTACTCCTGTAATGACATTCCCAACTCTTGTTGCTGCCGGGTTGCAACATCTCCATGCTGATGTTGTACTTGTGATTGAACATGCTCAACTTGTTGCTGCTGTTGCCTCCTTGACTGAGAAACCTCTTGCTGCTGAGATTGATAATGAGCATGCATAGGAGAAACCTGTTGCTGTTGCAGCAGTTGTAATTGATGCATTTGAACTGGATTTTGAATGGGCAATCCATGCTCAAGAAGCTGAGAAGATTGCACTGGTGGCCATACATGCTGAGGTGGCGGTGTAGGACGTTGAAGTGGGGGCTGCAGAGGCTGTAACTGATGAATTGACTGAATAGAAGACTGAATAGAGAGATTTTGCATAATAGTAGGGTTCTCAACTTGCTGCTGAGTTGGCGTGCTTCCATAAGGAGTTGCAGGAATTGCAGCTGGCCTATTGAAAACCGTAGGTTGCATTACAGGAGGATGTATATATCCACCACCTGTTGCAGAAAGATTTCCTAATCGCCCATCAATCATGGGTGCATTAGATATCTGAGAAAGCTCCGTAATCCCAAATGCTGAAGATTGGGAAGTAGGAGCCTTCAAAGAAGGTAGATTATATTGGCTAGATGAATAAGGATGGGGTGTGGGAGGAAGTGGTGGATGAGTCCCAGCAGATCCACTGGGAGAAGAGATAGAAGCCCGTGGATACTTGGAGTCTGAAATGGGAAGGGACGATGCTAATGATGTAGGATTGTTACCATAAGCAGAAAGAAAATCCGGATGAACCTGCAAAAGAGAGAAAAAGTGATTACCCTTTGTGCCGAGTAAGAAGCAGTAGACACAAAAATGCAAGTCATAACCAAGAATTATTTTGATCAATAGGCATATTTTCTCTTTACTTGAAATGCTGTAGAGAGGGGTTGCTGCACATCAACCAAAGAGTTGACAAATGGGGATGACTGACTTGGGACTGGATCAGGATTCTGGGATATTAAAGGTGATATTGTCAACGGAGGTGGCATAGGAGGCAAAGGTGGCGGAACTTTCTGATCATAATGTCCTCGAGATCCTGAAGAATGCTGTGGACTGTTCTTTGCATAGAAATTTTGTGGAGTTATCCTAGAATCCACCGGTGCCTTGTTATAAACAGCAGCAGGAAAACCTGAAGTACTAACTGCTGCAACAGAATCAAATCCATTAGAGGTCTTAACTGGAATAACATTCTTCATGTCTTCAGAGTGATCATAGAAATTCTTATCTGACGAAACACTAGGCTCTCGAGTCAGGGGCCTTTCAGGTCGTGAAACAGACATTCTTGAAGAAAATTCACTTTGAGTGTTTTCATCAATGTTAGATGCTAATGGTGTACCCAAGCGAGGAAATTGACCACTTTCATTAGCATCACTTTCCGTCTCTTCAACGATTGAGTGAGGAGAACTTTGCTCTACTATGACAGGGGCAGGCAGCTGTAGATTATCATCAGGCTGTGGAAAGAGCAATTTATCATCAGATTCAGACTCCTCACCATCAAAAACTATATCAATTCCTTGAAGATCATCATCAAGATCTGTTTTCAATGGCTTAGACTTGTTCATTTTTTCCTTATCTGCATCAATAACAGAAGCTGTATTCTTCAAGTGTGCTGATGGCTCCCCAACTAGAGCTGCTGTAGGATTCTGACGTTCCCTTTGTCTGGCCATAAATTCATCCACATGAATGGAGGGAGGTCTTCCACCAGTAGATCCTACTCGTTGGACTGCAATAACATTAGAATTGGTGCCACCATCAATATTTCTTTCCCTTGCAACGTAGTCATCCACATGCATTGATGGTGGCCTGCTGGTATTTGGCTTTCGCTGCCTAAAGGTGTCCCTGCGAGTTGGACCAGAAGAGGTAGCAGACTGACCCAATCCCCGTGAAAATGCATTTTGGCCTGTGATCTCAGCTACTGAATTTTCTCCTTTAACACGTTTACTAGCACCATCCAAGGATGACAATTTCCTCTTGCTAGGAATAGATTGTGACAATCTATCAGGCAATGCCTCTGGACATTCCCACAAGAACTTCTCCTCAAGGTCTCCAAGGTAGAGATAATCATCAACCTTTCCAGCATTAGTATCTGACACCTGATTTGTTTTTGAAGAATACATAACATTATTCATTGACAAAGAAATGCCTTTACTGCACAAGAGATCATCCAGAGTAACTGAACCACTAGGCTTTTCCAACAATAACAACAATGACTTGGCAGACTCTGAAGCCTGTACATAAATGATAAAGCCACTAAGATTACAGATAAAATTGAATAGAAGACAAGAACGCTGTGAAGAAAAATATTGTACTCAGCTAACCTGATAAAATATAGCTCCCATGTCTGAGGTAGCTAAACAGTCATCATCATCTGATGACTTCAAACTCAATATTGTAGTCATTTCTTGTATTAAAGTTATATTTTCTGCAAAGCCATCTGTCCCATCCACATCCTCACGAAGCCCAAAGAGATGTTTTATCGCACCCACAGCATTCAAGTTCAAACTAAACAGAAAAGAAACAAGGATAGGGCCTCAGTGGAATGAAGCTCAAGAGGAGATGAAGACCAAACCTAAGATGATGCTCAGCACATTTACCACTCTAAACCTACAGAGCTAACATAGATTGCAAAGTTCTCCAAACGAAAAAAAGGTATAATCTACTGACATGACCTAACACTCACTATTTTTTATTGATATGATACCTTAAAACGACACAACAAATTTATAAACCTTCTACTTTTTTCACCTGTTCAAAACACACATTCTTTGTTTCACAAGTCATTCATTCTGAAGCAATGAACAAGTCAACCATACATTGAATCTGTAAAGGGGACCCGGAAATTCAAAATAACTTGATACACGGTGTATAAGAACTCCGACAGAAACTACTTTATGTTGATAAGCTCATTATGATGTTGATCAACCATCATCAAAATTTATAGCAGAGAGCCGATCAAAATAATTTCCGATGTTGTTGATCAACCACACAAGACAACAAATTTTGAAGCTAGGTAGACAAATTCTCATACAAACTAGCAGAAGTTAATGCTACCACATAAATTTCCCCCTCTAGAATCCATCCTTAAGTTAAAAACTTAAATTTCATCTCATTGGAGTTCTCAAGGGTGTCTCTTAATATTAGGATCAATGTTCTCATTTCTAATTTCCCTCCCTGTAAAACTTGTGCCAACCCAATTTTAAACAAGCATACTCTTCCATTAGCCACTACCTTCTTTTTTTTGGTACCAAAAATTAAATTACAATAAGTCAAATAACCAATAAGAAAATTTTAGCCATCTCCACTTAAAATTGTTATTTCTCAATTTCTCCAATAAAACCTTAAGGTAAGTGCCTCTCCCATATCATATTGACAATGGAGTTCAAATTGCAGTACATGGTCACTTAGACAGAAAGGTTTTAGTAGCCTTCTAAAACACATAAAAACTACTAATCAATTTCTCCCACAAGTAGCAATTACATGAAACTAAGAAACAAGTATTCCACCAACTCAGATTGGTTCTCTGCAGTATTATCTAGCCTTTTTCAATATCTCATCCCCAAGTGAAAAATACCACTACTATGATAAACGCCAATCTTCACAACTTCACAATTTTTGTTTTTGAAAGATACATTAGGTGAACCATCTTCAATGGGCATCATAACAATTATCACTTGTCAGCAAAAAATAGTTGCTGTTTATATAAAATGAGAAAATGCAGATAAGATTGTCTCACATGCCAAAATAATCTATATTATATGCAAAAGCCTTAAATTGTGAAGTATTTTGGACAAAAATGTCCTTTCAGCAGCTGCCTCTATCAGTTTTGAGTAATCAATCAGATTATTTAGCTCGTACTAGTTGACTCACCTTTTACCATCCATGCAAAAGCACAATGAACCTATAGCCAATTCATTAACAGCCTCAATAGCCAAATCTGAGAAACCATCCCTTGAATCAATTGATTGCATCAACTTTTTCCAGCAACACAGCAAAGGATGCTTTTTCCATTTAAAATCATCGAGATTATAATTCCCATTCTTTTCATGCCCTCTTTCTGATCTAAGCCCCTCAACGCTGGAGTTTACATGGGATAGCAAGGTCGCCATTGCACTTCGACCTTCATTGCAAGAACCTAATTGTTTATAACATGCAATACAAGACAGTAGTTCTTTTCCAACTGGTAAAACCTGGAAAATAGGAGCATTCGTTGTTACAGTTACTAAGTAAGGAATAAGTTCTTTTCCATAACAACAGGAAAAAAAAAAAAAAGAACATTAACCTAAGATAAAACTGAAGGAGTTCTTTTTTAACAGCAAGAGGGAAAGGGAGGTGGCGGATGGGATTTGTTGGGGTTTGTGTTAATACTTGACAGTTCACAAAGATTTTTGCAATTTCCACATTCTTGTAATTTCTTTAAATGATGAAGAATAATAACAGCATGAAAAATGCAACATCGACTTCAAACAAAACGTAAAAGATAATTAACCAGTATATATTAAAATCTTATCATAGAGAATTCCACAAGAAATTACCTGGCAAAACTTCAAGAGGTATAGTAAGATCAACGGACAATCTGTGCTGCTCAGATTTGCAGAAATTAGCCTAACAAGCCATCAAAGAGTTATATTTGTCATGTTGATGAAACCATCATACTGAGGGAGTAGATGAAGGAAGAAAATAAAATAAAATAACAATTAACTATTGATATCTACTCACAACTCATGTCGCCCAGGGTGTAGTAAAGATGTTCTAGAAGCCAAGAGAAGTGACAAACACTTGAATACAGGAAGGCACCAACTAATCAAAGTAAACCCATATGTAGCAGAAAGTTTACTGTCTGAGACCTGTTTCTCATCTGAATCAATGATATTAAAACACTTCTCCAGCACTTCCATGAGAATCTGAGGAAAGTCCTTCTCCAATAACAGCGCCTAGTAAATAAGAACATAGCAATGAATGACATTCTTTGCTAGAATAGAAATTAAATAGAAAAAAAAATAAAGAGGAAAAATTAACAAACCTTGGAGATAGGATGTTCCAAAATGCTAGCAATGAAGTCTAGATATCTGTAGACCTGAAAACAGGAGAGAGAAACAAATTTGATACAAATGACTAGATGAAGTACAAAGCAGGAGTAGCAAATATCATTTACCTTATAAGCATCTATATCTGATGAAGAAGATAAGTCAGAAGCATGACTTTGAATGGAGCATAATATAGGCTGCAGAAGTATTGAAGCATTTTCCAGTTTTTGGCAAGCAATGCGAATTACAAAAACCCGTAGCATGTCTTGGATGACTACTAATGACTGTTTACAAATATTAAGCAAAAGGTAAAAAATAGACAAAAGTGGTGTACAAGAAGGCTTGACTCAAAAATATAAATTCTTTACAACATAAATAAGAATAAAATGGAAGGAATCAATGCAACTAGGAAAGACATACAGATATAGCATAATGATGGATAATCTGAGCAATTTTGTCCAGCTGTGGGGTTAACTGGCTAAGCAGTTTCTCAAGGTGCGAAGGCTTCAGATACCAATTGACTTGTCTCTCCTTCTGTGGCCCCAGTATTGTACCAACAGCCAGAGTTCTGAGGGCACTCAACAAGGGCATTCCATTCTTCCAAAGCCAGATGCCTTCTTCAGGGAATAAATCATTCTTGCAACCAAAAGAATGGAGAGAGAGTGTCAGATATCACAGTCCAAAGAGAACCAAATCGGATAGTTCTCTTTGGTTCACAGCAGAGCAAATATTACACAATGCACTCACAGCATCACAAAAGCATTGTCCACACAATATCACAAAACAAACAGCATTGTTGGAACCAAAAATAATAATAATCTTAAGCTCCCAGGACAATAATCGGATTGATAGTTGGATAAAACATGACGTGTAAAACTTGCATACCAGAAGACAAAGCAAACTGCATGTTTCTTTTGGACCCAAGGCCAGCACTGAAGTAACTTGAACATTAGAAAGGAGGGAGTGGAAAAGGCCAGGAGTCCAACCATATACAGGCCAACAAGTAAGTGCTGATACAACTAGATGGCAAACAGCTCCAAAACCAAGTGCAGACTCCGGATAAGGAGAGGACAAGTCTGCAGCACATGCAGCTAGCTTTGGGCTGCAATTAACATTATCCACTTGATCACAAACAGATAACAAAAGCAAAACCATAAAGAGACAAACCTCAGTTACCTAAATTACCTTACTTCTCTATGCAGTCGCAAAAGTGCATTCATGAGTTTTGTATTTCTATGCTGCTCTTTTGCTTCCTATAAACATAACAATGAAACACCTCAATTCTTGTAGATTTTCAAGAGTAATGCAAATTATACAGAATTAAAAGCTACAAAAGATAAAGCTCATGTCTAGTGTAGCGTCCAAATCATTCCAGTAGTTCTTTTTGCTTCTCCCCTTATCGCGATCAGTCGATCAGTAACAAAGAAAATGCAAAAACAATTGCAGTCAACTGAATTGGAAGTCTCGAATTTCACTAAAACATTATTCCCCAAGTAAAAGCAATTGTATATGTATCTTCCTCAAAAGAAATTTGCTTCAAAGACTGAGTGAAAATTATAATCTCATGAAGGCACTCAGCATTAAATGGTAAATCACCTGTAATTTCTGCAAAAGGGTGATCAGTAATACCAAAGCAGGTACCAGAAGGTCAACTAAGCTCTGCTCACGGTTACGTTCCAAAAGGAAGTCAGAAGTAGAATTGCATTCTGTACCCTCATCAACAAGGTAATCTGCTCAAGACATTCAAAGAATACCAATAAAGGAAAATCATCAATACACAGTAAAAAATTGTTGATTGAGAACCTTAAAACTTAAAATTGTGCACAAATATATCCAATCCCAATATATATAACACCAACCAAGAATCAAAACATAGTTCAGTAACACGATCACAAGCTGCAAATTTTAACAAATACCAGAAAATCAAAAGTCGGAGAAATTCTACAGTGGCCTTTGAGTGATGCCATAAGTTTAAGAGAAAGGTTTGAGATATTATACTAGTGTGCTTTTCTTTTATGCCAGCAAGAGTACAAATCTTAAAATCTTATATTCATAAATTGAAAGCCCCTAGTCCAGGGGCATAAACTTAGGTAGAAGTTCAGCTTCAGCAATACAATATCAAACAACTAATTATGATGAAGACTGAAAAGCAAGATTTGACGGCAGACATTAATTGCAGTATTATGTATAGTAATTAGCATCAAAGTTTAATATTATATCTACCACACCAAAAGCCTCTAGTTCACTTAAAACAAAGACAGGTACCATTGTGAATTTAAGGTTCCTTTCAATTTATCAATGAGAACAACTACTCATTTTATACAATACTAAGTTCTAGATTTGACATTCTTCTTCCACAAATGCAATTACAAGCATTTCTAATCTTAAAAATCATGGTTCCAAACAGAAAACACTTCCTCCAGCATTCTATAAACTCTTATGTCCACATTTAATCCACATAAACAAATAATTGAACCAGGCAATTGTTCAATAACTAACCATAATTATTTGAGGATCTCTCAAGCATGAAGCTACAGTTGATCAGAATTGTATAGATTACCGTGATGGCTCCTTCATCATAAAGAGTAGCAGTAACAGTCTACAACAGTAAAATTATAATGAGTCCAAGTTAATTTTATTGTCATATTATGGAAAATTTGGAGAATCAACATACTGAGTTTTCGGAAATGAAGGCCAATATTCGAATGGCCGATGTCAACTGTGCTATGGACGAGTCACGAAGGGAAACACCATCAAAAGTCTTTTCAGATGTAATTTTTCCAAGATTATCCATAACATTTATATCCGAACCCCCAGAAGCATCTCCAATGATATTCTCCACATCTGTCAAATCTGAGACTAGAATGCTGGTTGAGGTCAAATGGGCATCTCCACCAGAAGCTAACACAGCCGAATACCTTAGAAGGCCAATAGCGCCATTTTTATGATAAACTGCACCAGCATCAATCCACTCCAACAGCCGAGTTGGAGCATCTTTCCTGTTGGATCCAGGGGAAGAAGAATGCAATGCCTTGTGAAGTTCCATAGCATGCCCAATCCAAGCATCCAGGGAAGATGCAGTTGAATCATTAACAATGATTTCAAATATCTCAGCAGCAGAGTGAAAAATTGCAAGATTTATTGGTGAAGATCCTGGAAACCCAGCATTTTATCCACTTTCATATATATTAGGTGATAAAAAACAGAAATTTAGAATTCCAAACTTAACATAGAAATAGTTAAGAATTACCGTGATAGGCCTTCCCTTTCATCATAATAGAGTACAGAAACAGTCACAAAAGTAAAAAATAATACTAATTGACTCCAAGTTAAATTTTATGTCATAATTAGGGAAATTTGGAGAATCAACATACTTGAGTTTTCGGAAATGAAGGCCAATATTCGAATGGCACCGATGTCAACTTGTGCTATGACGAGTAAAACACGAAGGTAAACACCATCAAAAGTTCTTTTCAGATGTAATTATCTCCAAGATTATCCATAACATTATATTATCGAACCCCAGAAGTACATCTCCAATGAATATTCTCCACATCAATGTTCCAAATCTGAATAGAATCTGGTTGAGGTCAAATGGGCATCTCACCAGAAGCTAACACACAGCCGAAATACCTTAGAAGCGCAATAGCGCCATTTTTATGGATAAAACTCAGCAGCCAATCATCAATCCACCAAACAGCACGAGTTGGAGCACTCTTTTCTCTGTGGCAGGAGAAAGCCAAGAATGCAAATGCCTTGTGAAGTTCCATAGCATTGCGCCCAAATCAAGCATCCAAGAAAGATGCAGTTGGAATCATTAACAATGATTTCAAAAATAATCTCAGCAGCAGAGTTGAAAATTGCAAGATTTAAGTGGTTGAAATCCTGGAAAACCCAGCAAATCTTTATCCACTTAGTCATATATATTAGGTGATAAAAAACAGAAAATTTAGCAATTCCAAAACTTAAAACATCAAGAGAGCAAATTTACCATTGTTCTTGGATACTGGTTCTGATTCCTTAACAAAATGTAAGGCTTCAAATTCAAGATAAGATATAGCCTGCACCCCCAAACCCAAAAGAAAAGGTAGTCACAAGGAAAAAAGAAAAAAAAAAAAAAAAGCAAAAGCGTGCATCTGCACAAAAATGATAGACAAATACACAGAAAATGAAGAGATACTCTGACCGACCAACAAGGAAAGCATCACAAGAGTTTTATAATTTAACTACAGTGCATTCACCTTTTAACATAATGGATTGAGAAAAAACATCCGTGCCACCAACATTAAGTACATCAACATCTAAGGGAAGAACTCAGTGATTTCAAATATCTCAGCAGCAGAGTGAAAAATTGCAAGATTTATTGGTGAAGATCCTGGAAACCCAGCATTTTATCCACTTTCATATATATTAGGTGATAAAAAACAGAAATTTAGAATTCCAAACTTAACATCAAAGAGAGCAAATTTACCATTGTTCTTGGATACTGGTTCTGATTCCTTAACAAAATGTAAGGCTTCAATCAAGATAGATATAGCCTGCCCCCAAACCCAAAAGAAAAGGTGTCACAAGGAAAAAAGAAAAAAAAAAAAAAAAGCAAAGCGTGCATCTGCACAAAAATGATGCAAAATACCACAAGAAATGAAGAGAATATTGACCGACCAACAAGGATAGCATCACAAGCAGGTTTTGATAATTTAACTACAGTTGCATTCACCTTGAACATAATGGATTGAGAAAAACATCTCGTGCACCAACATTAAGTACATTCACATCTAAGGAGAACTCAGTTTTTTAGTAAAATTGATGACATAAGAGAATTAAATCGCAGCAACCTCATTTACTTCACCTGAAAAAAAAGGTACTTGAAACTATCGAAGTTCAACATTCACATCATATCAATACTTTTGAAAAGTACCCATGCACAGAGTATTGAATTGAAACTGAGTTTCTCCAAACTACATAATATTGCAGTTCTATTTACCTCGGGAAAATATCCAAGAACCAACAAAGCCTGGCGTCCACAATCTGACCTGCAAATCAAGATCAAAGCATGTGAAAACTCAAGCAACATTCCTTTTAGGGTCTAGAGTCAAAAGTAAAACAAAAGATCATAATTTCCACCTAGAGAGACCACACAGCTCCCACAACACCCATAAAAACTCTTCAGAGTAGGGAGTTGATGCAACCAAACGATCAATTGCATTAACCTGCAACAGAGCATGAGTAAATCACCATCCTAGGTTGTGACCCAATAATGGAAATCGAATTAAGATAAAACATAAGAAAAACAATGGATACTCAGCTAGGAAGAGTAACCAACCACCCTCAAATGTATCTCAACAATAATCCCAACTTCCCGCGGACTGCAAACAAATCCCTTCGACAATAAAACAGATGCATATCTAAGAGGAACACAGTCTTCCTTGCTTAAATCATCTTTGCCCCTCAAAGCATCTATTAATGTAGTGGAAAGTTCAGGATGATGTGAAAGGAAGATTAAGCCTGGAATAAGAAAAAAGCAACATAATTACATTGATCTATTCAACTGGTGAAAAATGTAAAACGAATTTCAGTTTCAAAAACCTGAGCGCGACATAAGCAGTGAGAGAAGTATGGCACCAATAGTTGAAGCAATATCAACAAATATGTCCATAGTATCTCCAGCTTCTGAACGCAATATGGCTGAAGACAACAGTGCAGCTGACAGAGGAAGAAAACCCCTTTCCTGCTTCCAAGAAAATAGTTCAAACACTCAAACACAGCCAGGCATTCATCTGAACACCACTTATCAATGTTTCCAGATTAAACTACAAACAAAAATCACAAATATAACAAATCTCATAACAAGGTGAAAAATTCAAAAATTGATGAATAAAAAAGTTAAAAGAAAAATATATTTGTTTAGATATTTTCACATTTCAATCATAGGCAGTACCCTTGGTTATTAAAGTTCCAGTCTATGGTCATTGTTTAACTAAGAAAAGAACACCACAATGGCTGTCAGAAGTAGCAAGAGTCCTCTTAGTCAGTTTGGCTGCACAAGTCCGTATAATCATTCAAGATTATGGTATAATGTGTAATTTTTTGAAATTTTATGTTCACACACATGTAAATAAAAGTAAATAGATACAGAGTCAAGAAGAGAAAAGCTAACACAATGATTTTGTGGTTCAATAACATTCCTAGATGAGAGGGTGGCTTTGGTGCAACTGTGAAATTACTCCACTTGTGATCTAGAGACCATGGGTTCGAGCCACCTAAATGGATTCCCTGCAAAAGGAAGGAGGAAGGCTACATACGTCAATCCTTCCTATAGCCCACAGATGTTGGAGGCTCCATGCACTAGGTCAATCTTAACAGCATTCCTACATCCAACGAGCCACCTGTGTTATTTATTATGAAAGCAAAAGGTTGTAGCAGCAAAACGCATACTTGAGATGTCTACCCAGGCTTCCTCTTTATGAATACAACAAAAAAACCTGGTGGCTGGTGTAATGATGAAGTTACTTCAATTATGACCTAGAGATCATGGGTTTGAGCCATAGAAATGGACTCTCTGCAAAAAATAGGAGGAAGACTATGTACGTCAACCCTTCATAGCCCACAAATGTCGAATAATATGTGCACTGGGTCAATCTTAACAACACTCCTACATCCAACAAGCCACCTGTATTTTATTATGAAAGCTAAAGGTTGTAGGCTGTAGCTGCAAAATGCATAGTTAAGATTTCAACTCAGGCTTCCTTCTTTATTAATACAACAAAAAACCTAGGTTGTATTTACTTATGGAAAGCACCCTTTGTTTTTCCAGTAACTGATTCCAATAAAATTAGAAAACATATTAATTGTTTGGTTACAAACTTTTCCACCTGGAAAATTGATTTCCTAGTTTACTTTAAGATTTGGAAGTCCACCTGCATTATTTTCCAAAATTTCCTCCAAAAAATGAGTAAAGTGAATTTAGGAAATTACAGTTCTTCAAATCATCGTTGTCCTTGTAGTTTGTAACGGTTTCAAATCTGAGAAATAGCATACTTTTTTTTAAAAAAATTTTAATACTTATTTTGTCATAAATAAAATGTTATAACATATATTCATAATTTGCAGGGATCAGCTGGGTCAGCATCTTAAATTTGGCATCTTGCTGTCAGGGTGTGAATTTGAACGGAAATATCTTTTATTTTCTTTTCTCAATTTTCTGGTCTCTATGTGTGTTGTGTGTTAAACAAAAAATCAAATTAAGACTATGTTCTGAAAAATGGAAAGGCGGACGAAAAGGAAAATAATTGATACAAGATAGGAGGAGAAAATAAAATTCCTTCCTTTGGAAAGAGAAGGAAAATAGCAAAAATTTCCTTCAGACACAAACAAATTTGACAGTTTCCAATTTGGAGAGAAAATATGAACAAACTAATGAGACGACTAAAGGGAGGAATCTCCTATCCAAACACAGATGATGAGAAAAAAAATGAAGAAATCTTTCCATATTTTGCCTTTCTATTTTCCTTCCTCGTAACTTTTTTTTTCCCCCCAAAACAGACTGTAGCTATGCGATATTCTCACTGTATATGAACCATAATCTTAACAGCAAATGCACCCCATTATCGATCCCAGAATTCATATGAAGCTGAGAACATCTGATTAATGTTTGGTCTAAAAAGTATCTTGGCATTTTTGTGGTAACCAACTTATGCAGCCATAACAACTTATAAGAACATGATGCTAAGCCAGCATACACAAAAAATGCAACTTAGTAATATCTTTCAGCCTTCCCCACACAGCTGTTTAAAATTTTTTGAATGCTATAACCAGTATATGAAAATTACTGCCCAAAAGTACAGTTGTATTACTTGGCAGCTTTTCCCTGCCATCCGCAGCTTATACTAAATATTGTACTTAATAAATTCAGTGCCATTCACAACAGAAAAGTACAAAGCGTCCTTCAAAAAACTAATATATGATACTGCACCCTTATATGCAAAAATCTCTCCTTGAAAAGAACATCAAAATTAAGTCTATCAGAATTAGAAATTATACCTTCAGGAGTGCAAGTAAATGCAGGTCAACATCCCAGTTTAAAAAGCAGCAGGTTGATGAACCAATCAAACCACTAGTTGCTTTATATGACAATAATCCTTCTGTTTGACCAAGGATCAATGACCTGCTTGCAGAAGCCACTAGAGAAGGATCTTCAACTGGACCACGTGAACGTATCAATTTCTGCATCAATACTTGTCACGACTATGAACTAAGAATTGAATATCCACATATATATGAAAGTAAATGTAACCCAAAATTGTAACTGACCAAAAGCCTCTTGAGTTGAGATTTAGCACTGATCAGCATTTCTGAAGTAACACTTGTAACTCTTCCAACAGCAGAAAGGCCCCCCAATACTGACAGAACAGCATGCTGGCAAGGAATTGAATTACCAAAAGTTACCAAGACAAAGTAAATTAAAAACATAAAAACACGCATGCACAAATTGAAATAATACCTCATATCTTGAAGCAACTTCATAAAATCGTAAGCGATGAAGGACATATGCTACCAAAGAAGCCACGTCATGGCGTGGCTTTTGCAATAGTAACTTCAACAATTGGTTATAGCCTTTGCTAATGCCAGATGGAACGCTTTCATCTTCACGGGGCCACCAACCTAAAATTCCTTCACAACCAATTGGATGACGAGTAGCCTGCTCAATGACTCCAAGTAATAATAACATAACAGCAGAAGAATCATGCACGTCATGAGACAGAACATCTGCAAGCCAGTCCATCCCCCCATCATTGACAAAGTGAAAGCAACTTTCTCTACCAGAGCACAATAAAAGAGACAGACTCAGCCCCAGAATGTTATTCTTGTTCTGAAATCAAGAAAATAACAGTTATGTTTCAGCTAAGAAGAATTAGATACACCACTTTGTGCATGTCTCCATATGCGTGTGTCCGTGTGGAGAGAGAAGAAAAACATGAAAGGAATGTCTGTTTCTTTCAATATCTGTATTTAATGAGCAGATGCAGACAACATATCATATGTTGCTGAAGCATTATGTAGCTAAATCACCTTTGAAAGACGGTGGTGTCCAATATTTGTGGAGTTCCTGTTAAAACAGAAGTATTGATTTAACATGTCCACCAACTGCTTGGAAGTAGCCAAGTCAGCTTGACATTCAAAAGCAGTGCACTCCGCCAATAATTCAGCTGATTCATCTTCAGAGCCATGTTGAAGCACTTCAAGAAGCTGTTTTCTAGCCTCAATAAGAACATCGTGCAACTGTTTAAATTCCTCAGCATCACCCATTTTAAGACATTTCTGATTGGTTCCCACACAACATAAAGCATTGGTAACATAAGAACAGACTGCTTTCACTAGAGCACCTACAATTTTATTTACAGAATCCTCAAAACATGGCAACCCTAACATCTTCAAAATTAGCTGTAAAAATTGCTTAACCTCAACAGGTATATCTGAAGGGGCAACAGGTAAAGATAATACATTCAAAGAAGCTAAAGATTCCTCAACTGTCCTATTAGCTGAATGCAATGCCAAGGGGAGATCCTCAAGTTTTCCCTCAGCAGAACTGACAAGATTAGTTAAAGAGCTATCATCAAATTCAATATTGAACTGCCCTAGATCCTCTGCTGTGTTTCCATAAATGACCAAACTTAGACTGCGATAGCTACCCCTTACAACCAGATGGTTTGTTACAACAGCCTGCAAATAAAGCAAGATGAAAATTCTCAACCATAAATTTAAAACTATCTCTAATTTCTCAAAATAAAAGTTAATAACAAATAAATAGGGAAGAACAACATGACTCGTTCAGAAGAATATCTGCAATTTCTCACAAAAAAACAGGAGGTTGTGAAACAAGAGAAAATGAAAGCACACCAAGATCTAAGAATAAAATTCAAAATAGGAAGATACAGTGATACAAAATTGCATTAGTTACCTCAACTTCTAGGACATTTGATGAAGAATGGGAATAGAGGAATGGCTGGCATAGACGTCTAAATCTTGTCTCCCCCTCACACTGAACAAATACCTCCAGAGCAAATGAAGGAGGTGAGGTAGCCCTGTATGACATAGGAGCACTTTAGAATGCAATCGTAGCTTAAACAATGGCCAGTAGCATGTCCTTTTATTCATTCCTATAGATTGCTTGACACCAATTTCTAAAACCAAAAGCTAAAATCTCAACTCATGTCACTCTTAAAACCAGAATAGGCAAATACAAGACATAATTGTGAAACATAACTGAATCAATTTCTGAAATCACATACCCTATGAGTGGAACGACTTGAGAATTTGAAGAAGCGTTCTGTTCAAGAAACTCACAAGCAGTAATTACAATTGGTTCAGCAAACAATACCTGAAAACAAAGAAAAAAGTGCACATTTACTAAGAAAAATCAAATAGCACAATCTACTAACTCAGTACAATTAATTCAACAACAAATACATAGATTTTGCTCATCCAACTTTACTAAAATTCCAAATTAAAAATTTAGAAAAAGAAAAACAAAAAAACAAAAAAAAGTTAAATAATCTATAGTGGGAAGAGAAGAAGATTGAACAACCGGTGGCGGAGAGGCTGGTAATGGTTACCTCGTCAACGTATTCGTCGAGTTGAGGATGAACGAAGGTCTGGGAGAACAGCACGCAGGGCTCTGGCCGACCCATACTTCGTAGTTTCGGATCCTTGAATTCAAGTCAGGCTAACAGAGAGAGAAAAAAAAGCGCAGAAATTGAAGATTCTTTGAGCTCCAATTTACAATGTGCTCTAGGGTTTTATGGGCGATTGGATTTTGGGGGGAATTTTGTTCATGTTTTCAAGAAGTCACCGAGTTGAAAGAGAGAGGGAAAGGAGACAATACGGCTGTTTTGGGCATATTTATAGTGCTGTTAGGTTTATACCAGCAGAGAAGTAACAGGTTTTAAAACAGATGACTAAATAACTATTTAACCCCTCGTATTTGATAATAATTATAATTTTATCTATACTGTTTGATAAATATACTAATTAGTCCCTGAGATTTATCTCTATTAAAAACTATTTAATCCTTTGTCTAAAAATATCATTTTTTCTGTTAACTGAGATGCTATATAAAAATTGATGGTAAAAGTGATAAACTAAATACTAACATCATATTAAATGCGAAAGAGTAAATATTTAAATATTATAGGGTATTTAATCATAAAAATCACCCTTTTAAACAGAAAAACTAAAATAATTTAATAAGACTAATTAGTATATTACCAAATAAGAGGGATAAAATTATAATGACAGTCAAATCTAAGGGACTAAATAACTATTTACCTTAAATAGAATTGTTGTAGTATTATTATGTGAAGGTAAATAATAATTGTGAATTAGGAGGAAAATAGAGAAAGAAAAAATAATTTTTTATACTAAGGGTGAGTTTAGTTTAGTTGATTTATACAATATTGTAATCTGTGAGTCTGATATGTCAAAAACAAAAAGAGACATTATCTATCACACTATCTATTTTTGTTCTTTATTTTCCTATTTATTCATTTTTTTTCTTATTTTTTTATTTTTCTTTATGTCTTTTTTTTATTTGCGCTCAAAATTATTTTTCACGCTGAAATTGATTTATTTTTAATGCATTGGATAATCATTTTTAAAATATAACATTTATAAATATACATTCAACCACATCACCATTCACAACTTTTATTTATTAAAACACATCAGTAACAATCCATAGTTACATTGGAGATGCTCTAAGTTATAAGTGTTTGATAAACTTTTTTTAATCAAACAATTGATAAAAGTCTCAATCAGCTATTGTTTTTATAAACTATGTTTATAAGTTTTTTTCATATTAGCTGATAACTTATTTATATATTTATATTATTTCTAACTTTATTAACCTCATAAAAAATAATTATTTATAAAATTATTTGTTTTTCAAATTAATATTTTTATCACAATTTTGTTTATAATTATTTAAAAAATTTTCTTAAATATTATTTTAAAACTTTATTAACCTTCATAAAAAATAATTATTTATAAAATTATTTGTTTTTCAATTAATATTTTTATCACAATTTTGTTTATAAATTATTTAAAAAAATTTCTTTTAAATATTTATTTTAAGAATTTATTAAATTTTTATTTATATTAATACATTAAAATAAAAAATAATATATTCACATTAATTAAAAAGGATATTACATTAAAATAAAAAATAATATATTCACATTAAATTAAAAAGATATACATACACATTATATATCAACTGCTGAAAAAATTTTACCAAACATAAACAATAATCAGCTAACTGCTATCAGCTAGCAACCATTAGCCATCAGCCATCGGTTATCAACAACCGCTATCAGTTGGTATGAACTGCTGAATTAAACGAGCCATAAGGCTTGTTCGTTGAAATTAATTATTTTAATATGTATTATATGTCTTGTCAACAATTAAAATAGCATTTCATGAAATGCTAAATGAAGCAACATTTCACAATCCGTTTTCTCAAATTTTGAATACTAGCATAAACATTATAAGCTAAATAAAAGGTTATTAATCAACAGATCTTAAATTTTGAACTTTAAAATTTTTTAAGTTATGGCGTAAAAATAATATAAATGGCAGTTTTTATAAGGAAAAATCTCAAAATAATATAATTATGTATAATAGCTTATGAAATTTCCTAGAATGGGACATTCTCACTTGAGTTATATAATTACTATCTAACCATGGTGGACAGAAGCGTGATGCCTCGCTTGGCAAGAAGCCCACGCTAGTCGACTTGACCTCACTTGTAGCATATAATTCGTCAAGGAGATTAACACTATAAAAAAATAATAATAGAAGTGAGAATTTCTCCAAAATGTATAGGCAAAAATTGCTCATTGATTGCATTCACATACAAAATGATAAAACTAGAAAGACTTAATTTCTGTGTCGCTAAAAGCATAAAATGCAAAAAGACAGCAGATTTTTTTACATGATAGCTAGAAAATTCTCGTTGAAAAAAAAATTGTAAACACAAAAATAACGAATAAAATAAGAAAGAAAATCCATATTTCTCATTTTGGGAATAAAAAATTTTACAACGCGCAAGCCCCCAACTAATCCGGTCTAGGCCTAATTATCAAAATACCTTCAACTTTATATATTTTTTTAATTTTATTTTATTTTGACTTTCTAATTTTATCCCGAATTCTATCATCTGTAGTAATAGTAAATATTCAATTGCAATTAGGGATGTATAAAAAATGATTTCTATTTTCTTAAAAATTAATAATAAAGATAAAATTTTAAATTTTTTTTGAATATCAAATTATATTCACATTTAGTGAGCGACACATTTATAAATTTAAAAATATGATATTTAAGATGTAATAAAAATAATTAATAAGTTATTTATTTATTTAAAAAAATAATTTGACATACTATCAATAAAAAATTACCATAATTAGGATTTTCATATTTAAAATATAGAAAATATAAAACAAAATATGTAATTAAAAAATGTATATTTTATTAATTAAATTTTTATGTGTGCTTTGGGTATTTTGATGATAAATAAAAATTTGTGTTATTAAATTATTAATTAGCACATTTATTTTAAAAAGTAAAATTTAATTTGTGCAGCATTTCTTTTTTTGAAAACTAATTTGTGCAACATTATTTGTTTAGACTAATGGATTTTTTTTTCAAATTTTTATTTGTTAATTGCAAATTAAGAGCGCTATTGTTAAAAAAGTCAAATTGGAGTACAGACGACAAAAAGAAAGAAGTCAAAATAGGGTGAGATCATAAAGATATATGAAATTCACTAATTCAGGATATTCGTATATATTAGGCATCTGGTCCACATTTGTTGGTTATAGAAGAAATCAAATTATAAATTTTATTAAGAGAAAACTGTATGCAGATATGAAATATAAATCAATGTATTTTTATATTTTTGTATATGAAATCTAATAATAAACCAATTATATAAAAAATAAAAAAAACACAATCTTGATTTAAAGTATTTGATCAAGTTGACAAAGCATAATATTTGTGTCATAGATGATCGTTTGCTCCACTAAACTTAGTGACTATTCATTACCCTTCAAATTTCTTCGTTCCATTGGAAAAAAAAACTCAAAACTAAATCTGAAAATAAAATTTCAAGATATAAACAATAATAAATCCCAAGAAATTGAAGACAATAACTCAGATTTGAAGATTATTTGTGAAAAAAGAAAAAAATAGCAAAAAAGGGAAAAAAGAGTGATCACCAGTAAGAGCTCACCAATGGCCGCCAGTGGAAGAAGAAGAAGAAAAGAGAGCTCTTTAGGATTTTAAATTTTGGAGAGAGAGAGCCATGGGTGATGTCATTATTTGTTAATATCCAATAATAACCTTACGACATTTTGTTGGTTACTGTTACTGACTTAAAATTGAGAAATAACATGATGGAATCTAAAGCACAGCCTTACTTTTCTCTCGCATACCATGACATAATCAAGTGATAAATACATTATCTAAGATCAAATCTCTATTTCTCTAATACTAAAAAAAAAGCACTTTATCCTCCTCCCACCATATCCTCCCACCATATGCATTTTGAGGGGTCGGGATTAGGGATGATCATGGATCGGATTCGGATCGGATTATGCAAAATTCACATCCGAGCCGCGAAAATATTCATATATCCATATCCATTCCCGCTCCGCTCGAATTCGAATTGAATCAAATGTCGAAGCGGATCGGGTTGAATAAGATATTATCCGTTTTATTATGTTTAAAAGAAAAATGAAAACAAAACAATAATTTAATAAGAATTCATATCATTTATTGTGCTTGAAAATAAAAAAATTCTTAACAATAATTGAAATATTTTTCATAGTCATTTATTGTTGCTTGAAAATTAAAAATTCTAAACAAATAATTGAAATATTGTTATACTATGACAATTAAAAGAGACTTTACGAATTTACTAAACACAAAAGAAATCATTGCTACTGTGATTGTAATGTTCTTCTTATATTCTTGTTGAAGTAGGAGATAAAAAAAAAATGTGGAAAATGGTGAAAGAGTTAGAGAATAATGATTTAAAATATAAATGGAAAAGAAAAAGAAGAATAAAAACACATTGCACATCTCGGAATTATTAATCAAAACAATTTTAGAAAATATATTAAAAATAAAATTAAAATTTACCTTTTTACGGATCAGATTATGCCTTATATTTGTTACGATCCCAATCCGATTCCATAACCGGGATCCACCACTATTTCCGATCGCATTTGATCATCTTAAAAGAGACTTTACGAATTACTAAACACAAAAGAAATCATGCTAGTGATTGTAATGTTCGTCTTATATTCTTTTGTTTGAAGTAGAGATAAAAAAAATGTGAAAATGGTGAAAGAGTTAGAGATAATGATTTAAAATATAAATGGAAAAGAAAAAAAAGAAGAATAAAACCAATTGCACATCTCGAATTATAATCAACAATTTTAGAAATATATAAAAATAAAATAAAATTACCTTTTACGGATCAGATTATGCTATATTTGTACGATCCCAATCCGATCCATAACCGATCCACCACTATTCCGATCGGGTCATTTGATCATCCCTAGTCGGGCTTCTCTGTAAACAATAGACTCGTTGCCTTCTCTTGAGGTGTAGATTCTCAGGCTTCTTGATTGCTCACTGGAAACTCGATTGTTTGCATTGCATTGGTTAAGGTTCAAGTTTGCAAACATATTCACTAATTAAAAACATTATTTAAGAGTTAGTTCAAGTTCGCCTTGTTTCTAAGAACTCATCAAATTGAGAAAATGCAAAAGCCCCATTTGCCCTCTTCTTTTGTTAGTAATTGTTACCAATTACATATATAAATCTGGCACTTGTTCCCTCATTAACAATGCACATCGCAATAAATAGCTCGAGCCCTGAAAGAAAACTGTGCAAATAACTCAAAAAAACAGCTCTCTTACCTTCTTGAACCAGAAGTTATTTTACTATGTTATATAAATATTCAGTAAGAAAAAATTTTAAGCAAATGGCAGGACTGCTATTATAAGATGTTAGTCCTGAAAGAAACTCGAAGATTCAGCGGCGTAGATTGTAATTGTGCAACAACTCAACCACAGCAGAGACAACTCCCTTTCCCTCAACTGAAATGTCCAAGCTTGGGTCCTCAATCTTCCTCTTCAGAAGCTTGTCGAGTTCTGCCCGTAATTGCTGCAAAACCCAATTACCAAAATTCAGTCGCACCATATTCAACATGCTTGCATATATTTAACAGTGAAAAGTTGCATAAGCAAGAAGTAAGAGTAAATCTTTACCTGTATCAACTCCAATACACTTCTCGATGCAGAAAAATGGAGGTAACCTCCAAGCATCTCAATACCTTCACCATCTTTACTAGGAATGAGATTACCACCAAACAAAAGCAGAGCATAATCGGATATGTTTGTTGAGTCCCGGATATAAATGCCAGTTGTTTTCACCTTTTTACTGTAAACCATGTATGGCAGAGGGAAGAGATGAACCCCTGCATTTACAGATGCAGGATGGATGTCAACTTTCCCAACTTCTTTAGTGTATAATGCTGTCCGTTTTCCTCTTCTTTTGCACTGCACAACATTTGGGTAAAGTCCAGCACAAAGGATTGCTGATACCATCTCTAAGTCATGGCTATACTGATTGTAAGCCTGCATGAAGCAATATACATCAATTAATCTATTATCCTGAATTCAAAAAGACATGCCATATGATGCAGTTCATGCTACAGATAAAGTGCAGAAGAATAGAAGATGGAGATAGACAGATAAGTCCAGTGGAATCAAAGAAATGACCAAATCACGCTATCACAAATAGAATCCCAATTTGGAACATGAAAAATATAAAAATCTACAAGCTTACACTAGCACCCCTGGATTTGTCCACAAAACCAATGTCCGATAGTAAGTTCAAAAACTGCTCTCGCATGTCCTCCATCATCTGCAATGTTATCGGGGATAAAAATTTCTCCCAACAAAATGCTCTTTCATTCCGAGTACGTTTTGCTTCCTTATATCCTTCAAAAGCTTTAACAAGTGCAATGTGGTCACTGCATTAACGAACACATTTTCCAACATCATAATTGTGTCATATCGCAACCAACTTCTGCAATTAGAACATAAAGGCATTAAAAACAAAACCTGCAAGAATCACCAGCAAAGGATCTTTTTGCAGCATCAGCTTCAGTTTTCCTATCTATTGGGAGAACAAATGGGTTACGATGTGCAAGAGCAGCTGCAATTGTTAAAGCAGGATTGAGGCATTGAAAGACACACCCCATCAGAAGCATCTTTCCGATATTTGGGTCTAGGGGTAGAGTACAGAGGTGGTGACCTGTTAAGCTTATTAATTTAGACTTCAGCAATATCCCAGAGCAAAATATATAAAACAGACGCAAGAAAAATCAAAGAGTACATACCAAGTGGAGTAAGCTCCTCGTTATCATCTAAAGCACCAATGGTTTTAAGAAGTTCAATAGCATTTTGAACAGAAAGAGGATCTGGGGGTTGAAGTGCCTTTGCCAAAAAAGATCCAACAGCTCCAAGCTGCAGACTTTTGATGTGCAGACATAGCTCTTGCAGAGGTGTTCGGAGAATTTCAGGTAACTGATACTGAAGCATTGCGTCATGGATAATTTTTGGATACAGTCTATAGCAAACTCCAGGTCGCACACGGCCAGCACGACCACGTCTCTGAAATTTCATCGTACAAGAAACAAGAGTCTTTTAAATTGTGGGCTGACAGATGAGTAACTCAAATATTTAGTTCCCATTATGCTTTGGCAGTGAAAATCAATACCTGATGTGCTGAAGCCTTTGAAATCCATGATGGTAACAGACAAGCCAGCTTGTTTAGAGCATCATAACTGGTTTCCTTTGCCTTTCCACAATCTATAACATACACAACGTCATCTATTGTGATACTACTCTCTGCAATATTTGTTGCAAGTACAATTTTTCTGCAAAAAATTAAAGAATAGGGGATTTTATATTGAGAAGGGATTCAAGAGAAAGGAAAATCTAATTTCTCATAACTGAGTGTCAGTTAACAGGTAGGCAATAAGAAGTGCTCAATTGCAAAAGAAACATGCAAATAAAGCTGTTATTTCTTGTCATCCTAAGAAGATAGCTATGTCAACTAATCAATGTTGAGACAAACAAACATACTAAGGAATTCGACCTCAGATCACATGCAATGCAAGGTACAAAGGAATCGTACCTGAAAGAATGGAAACAGATGAATAAAATTGCTTACAAGCTTTTTCAGCAGTAGGGTGACTGAGGTCACAAGAAACATTTTCTAATTTAGGCAGCCTATAATAAGAAAATGAGGTTGCAGCACTGCAGCTGGTCAGATTTTCCAATTCAAATGGCTAGAAACAACATCCCACCCTCTTGAATCCCAATGAGTTTTCAGCAATTAGAAACTTTACAATTTTAAGCCTAGCATTTACCATGTCCAATTAAATCAAAAGGCACCATAACTTTTGGCTGAATATTTGTTTATATAAGTGATCCTGATCCTGAAGAGCAATCATAGCAGCTCATCATGCAATATGGACAAGGAGATATCATCAAATTAGCAACCAGTGATTTTCAAAAAGTTTATTTTTTTCCTGTAGATATCCTAAAGAATGAACCATATAGAATTAATACCATAAGGATATTTACCGCTTGTTAGGGGGAGGACGATCAAAAATTTCACGTTGATTAACTGTAGGCATTGAACCATGCAGGGGAAGGACTAGAAACTTGCTTTGGTCTCCCAGAAGTTTATTTCCTTTAATCTTGTCAAGCAGCTTGGAAATCTCATCCCAGCCAGTAAGAAATACAAGAATTGCACCATCTCCTTCATGGCGACAAATGTATTCAATTGCCGCTTCCACCTAATAAAACAAGTTTCAAAAAAACAACCATAACATTGTAGAGTAGCACTTTCAATTAAATTATTGTCACAATGCATGAGACTATGAAAGGAGATACCAGGTTAATTACATTATACAAGGTATCCTTCAACATTAACAATAAACAAAAGCAAATAACAAAGCAAACTTTCAGATACACTGTAATTCTCTTTGAGAATGAAAATTTTCTCTGTTACAATGAAGCACATGCATCAAAATTGATTTCTCAAAGTACAAACCAGACCCAAGTCAAGCTCTGAACCCGACCAAGCTTCAAGAGAAGTTCGAGTAGATGTGCTGTAATTCTTGTATTCAGAGTCAATATCAACATCCTGCATAGCGATGCCCCAGTGAGTATAAGCTCCTCATGATGAACAAAGATTTCCACTCAAAACTTCTAACACAAGCAGATGATTCAGAAAATTGCCCCCCAAAATACCACCCAATAAAATAAAAAAGAACTAAGTACAATAATCAGAAAACTAATACTACAAATTAGATAAATAAATAAATTCAAATGGCATTGTTGTTGTGATGTCTCTGAATGTCTATGCACAATTCAACAAATATGAAATTGAGATTCTGACTGCAATAATCTCCAATTCACTTTACATAGATGCAAGATGAAACTAATGCCCTATGGTCATACTATAGACACAAACTATTCCTTTTCAGTACTTGCTTTTTGCTGCTTTTCTTTGGGGTATGAAACTAACTCAAATGAAACATAATTAATGTGAAATTCTGCAACTTCTATATACAAACACCTAATGCAATAGTGATCCATTAAAATACATCATTTACATGATCTAAACTCCTTGAAAGGTTATTAATAGAGAGCAAGATGGAGAGGTATATATTATAAGATTTGTAGTTCAGACAGTTTGAGTATTGCCTCAAACAATTCAGTTAAAGGATCTTTCTTGGAATCTTGCTCCCTTCTCCTTCTCCTCCTTGAATTCCCCTGAAAGTTGCCAGACTCTGATTGGATTTTATAACGAGATTTCTCCAATATGTCTTCCAGAAATAACTCTGTCACTGGGAAAGTAAATCCCTGCCAACATATCAGAAGAAATTAATTATAAAAAGCAAAAGAAAATTGAATAGCTGCATCCTGCTGCATATTCAACATGCTGGAGAAAAAAGGAAGCATGTCTCCTTGCTATTAATCACAATGATCAAATACCAGTATATGAATAGTTGGAGCATTTCCAAAGTACTTCGAGAACAAGCCAGCATTAATGGTAGCACTCATTAGAATAAGACGCAAATCTGGACGCCGAGGAAGAAGATCTCGCAAAATAATCAATAGAAAGTCCTCATTCATGCCTCTTTCATGGATTTCATCCACTAACAAATGGGTCACACCAGTCAATTCAGGATCCTGAATCTGCAGTTCAACATCAAATTTAAAACAAGCAGAAAATAAAATGTTAGAAGTGGGCAAGAACAAATAAGTTCCTAACAAGAAGGAATAATAAAGAAATAAGGACTATGAACTTAGTTACTTCCTTAATTTGCTGCTTTGAGAAATCTAAGATTTCACTTTCAACATTAAGGCCACTAGTAATGCACAAAGCAGACTGGCAGCCAATCAATATTGTACCACCAATTACACAATATGTTTAAAAGTATGCTTAGGTTAACTTATCCCAGACAAGTCCAAGTCCAGGAATGTTGAGAGCTAAGCATGGATATAAAAGACCTGTGAGGAATTACATATGCCTAAGCCTCATGCAGTAACTGGAGATGCATGAGTAACAACAATTACCAACTGCCGAAGTAAAACACCAGTTGTGCAAAATAGTAGACGGGTTTCAGCAGATCGCTTTTCCTCCAAGCGAATATGATAACCAACAGTTTGACCAAGATTCTCTCCTCTTTCAGATGAAATTCGAGCTGCAATGGATATGGCTGATATGCGACGTGGTTGAGTGCATATTATGTTGCAATCAGCACCACGCAGATGTGTAATCTCCTCTTCCAATACATACTGGGGAAGTTGTGTTGTTTTACCACATCCTGTCTCCCCTGAAATTACTAAAACCTGCAATATTCAAACAAAGGCAATGAAAATCCGCTAAAGATTATTATTTATACAAACATTCATGAAGGCATAAAATTTTTCTTCAAACAATTTGTTGAAAATTCAAAATGATGACGTGGGAAAGAAACTTAGAGTGAGAGAGAGAATATCAAAATCCTCAATCAGATGCTAATAGTTGTTGATAATCCTCAATCAGTGAGTAAGAGACACTACAGACCAGTTATACTATATTTTATTCATTGAAGAATCTACGTAAAGTTGTTCATCACATGAGTCACAAGAACACTCTGTTATCTTCCCCTAAAATTTAAGTTATTTTGTCCCCAGGCATGAGAAGTTTATTAAAATTTCAACGCATGAATCGTAGACCATCATATATAGGACCCAGGGCATAAAAGCATATTGCTTTACTAAAATGGTTAGCAACTCACATCAGACAACAAGATACCATGGCAAAGCATTGTGATGTAGACATTAGTGAGAAAAATTTAATATGACAATATAATAGATTTACATCAAACTGGTATTAAAACCCATATGATCATATCTAAACAATAGCCTTCATTTAAGAATTAAAATAAATGGACAGAGTTACTTAAAAACTGGGAAATTGTGAATCCCAAGGAACAAAATTTTTTTCTTCCCTTATTCATGATAATTTTCTTTTAAAAAAAGCAACCTTGATCTGGACAAAAGAAAATGTACCTGATTTCCCGCAACAGCTTTCAGAAACTCGCCTTTCACTTTGAATGCAGGTAGCTTTTCTCTAAAAGACTGCATTTCCTTCATATTATTACTTGCCTGAAGCAGTAAATAAATGATAGGGTAAATGTTTCAACGTCTGACACACCTAGTAAATGTCAAAGGTAAACAACCACCTCATTACAAGATCAGCAAATCTACCATTATTTTGTCCTGCCTCTGCTTCAATTCAATGCTGAGTTTCTCCTTAGTAGAATCTGTCTCCAAGTCAGGGACAGGTTTCATTATCTTTACGCCAGCTGATGGTTGTTTGTCCCCCTGACTAGATGCTGCTGCACCAAAATCATTTGCAGGTGCTGCCCTCTGACTCTGTGAGCTGTTCAAAAGATTTCCAACTCTTCTCTCAGTCTCAGCAGACATTTGGATCTGTAAAAATATCAGAATGAGAATAATTGTTTAAGTCAAAAATGACATTAAAGTCTTATATAGGTGCATATTTTTACTTCTTTCTGTGTTGATCCATGACGCTCATCAAGATCAGCTCGATAATTTGGCAATGGAAATTTGCTAAGCACAAGTGTCTGTCCTTTATTATATGCATGGCTTCCTTCCCGCAAGTACAAAAATCAAGAAAAAGACTTGTAAGATGAAGCTCCAAAGTAAAAAAAAATTAAGCCTACATAAAAACAAAATTATTTACATATGCTTCAACTTATGACAGAGTAAACAAAGACATAAATCAATTACAAAGACATAATATTGGAGCAAACTTTACACAGATTGGACAAAGGAACCTCCAGACAGATCACAATATTCCTTCACCGCAATAAGATACAATATACATTTTAAATTTGGGTGTCTTTGTAGTTTTTATCTTTGCATACATCATTATACTGTTTCCTAAATGTTCATCGTAATAATTCCAAATGCAACTCTTAATAAAATAAGGTAATCAGTTCAAATAACTTACAAGTAAAGACCCATTTCATAAGCCATGTCAGAGAGAGTTTGCTGGTCAGAACGGCTATAATTTCTCTTAACTATCATCTCTTGATCCCTTCCATTCTTCAGTTTCTCCATCTTATCCCACCATTCATTCTCATCGAGAACTTCCATCTATAGATAAGAACATCACATAAAGGACTTATACTTGCTAAATAGAAACTAAACAGAGAAATCTCCGTTTTGCAATCTGCAAAATGCATTATCTCGAAAATAAAGAGAGATGAATCTATAACTCTTGATGGCATTGGAGAAAACAAATTTAGAAATAACTCAGCCTTGAACTTTCTTCAATTCCCTACCCTACATAGTTTACTTTCCTTAGAAAAAATTTTTCTCAGCTGAGTCATGGTTTTTAATTTACTTCTACAGATACTTTTAGTTTTTGAAACAATGACATTTCACAGTTTACTTTCCATTTGGTTTTCATAATCATTAGCAATCAAGTTATCAAACATTTAAACGTCTAGCAAATGCATCGTTCAATTCGACTATGTGGCTAACTTCAAAGCAGCTGAACGGCTGAACCAACTAAAACCCTAAAGAAAATGCAAAATTGTCGATTCCATAATCACCAATACCTCAGCAGCTTTCTGTCTCAAGCGCTCCGCCCGCCACACAGGGTCCCACCAACGCTGCTCACCACGTCCTCCTCTTCCTCCTCCACGTCCTCCGCCGCCGCGACCAGGGGAGCTGCTACCGCCACCTCCACCTCCACCTCCACCTCGGCGGCCTCCCTGGAAGTTGGGGCGGCGAGACATGGCGAGTGTTGAGATCTGCAGGTGAAAAGGTGAGAAAGCTGATGCAGAAATGGGCGCGGCTAGCAGTAGGAAACGTTTGCAAAAGAAAGTGAAAGTGAAAGTTGAAGTGAAGGAAGATTTAGTGCTTAGTAAGCACAGAGACATTTAAGTTAAGAGGAATTCGTTCATACGGCAAAGGCGCTGCTGCTGCTGACGGGGAAAGGCACATAGACGATGGCTTGTTTACGTGTTTATATCAAACAAAAAACGACAAATGAAATATCTCTAAGAGTGTTCGTTTCGTTCATTATACTTATGTGTGAGCAAAAGAAGTTTTGAAACCAAACGACCAGCTTTTAGGATATGGTTGCTCTAGTTTACGGCAAAAGTCAACAGGAAACACGACGGAACAAATTTTCTTCGTTTTGCTATGAAAAGGCTAAGGTGAAGCCCAATGGTGAATTGGGCTACCTGAGTTAAGCCCAATGTTATATCAACCCAATCCATCTCAAAATTATAGTCGCTCAAGACTCGAGCGTGTTATGTTTTTCTTTCTTATCGCAATCTTGCAAGAGCAGACAAATTAGACGAAGAAGAGAATGGGAAGCGCACCGGCACAAATTCCGACTAGCTTTGGTCATGAGCTGAGGGCTTGTCTTCGTTGCCGCCTCGTCAAAACCTATGATCAGGTCACTTCCCTCTTTTCCATTCCCCTTATGTAGCCACATTATGGGTTGTATATATGAAGGGGATATGATTCTATTGCAGTTTAGAGAGTCTGGATGCGAGAATTGCCCCTTCTTTAAGATGGATGAAGATCATGAGCGTGTGGTTGACTGCACTACTCCCAACTTTAATGGGTATTGATTTATATCTTTAATTATTCATATGCAACACTATACTTCTTTTAAAATCTTTAGTTGTTGTGTAAATGCTAATGTATTCTTTTAAACTGTAAACATTCTCTACATCGCTATATTCTTTTTTAATGCTTTGCTTGTTGCTGGCATCTTTCTAGGATAATTTCTGTCATGGACCCAAGTAGAAGCTGGGCTGCTCGCTGGCTGAGAATTGGTACGAGGGACATTTCTGCTGTTGCTCTGCTTACATCTTTATTTTTCCATTTCAAGTCTATTATTTCATTTTCTTCTCTCACAAACTAGTTATCTATGTCATATTTTTTTCACTCGTTTCTAGCCTTATTAGGCAACATGCAATATGATCTTAAAATTTTGAAGAGATTCATGCTATTTTGTCTTATCAGTGCTTTTTACCCCTTGAATTTATGATTTACAAGGATTTAAGGATTCTTGTGGGAGAACAAGATTATTTTTTATACCGAGTCTGAATACCTACAAAGTTAGGAGATGCGGCGGAAGGATTTCAGATTGGTTTAATGTTCTATTTTGGATTTCTGATTCAGGTTCATGTCCAGGTCCTATTTAAATTGATTTGATGTTTTATTTACGGATTTTACTTCAGGTTTGTTGAAAATGAAAAGGGAGAAAGATGGACTAAATTGAAAGTCGCTTTTATTAAGAGTAACTACACTATAATGCTAGAATTTTGAGTATCGCTAGTCAAACACACTCTAATTTTTCCTCAATCTTTCTTCTTCCTTTCACTTCACTCACCAATCTCTTTCTTACTCGACTCACTTATATATACTAGCTTTGAGTTGTTGATTTCATGGTCAACAATAAATCATAGCCACATGTTAACTTTGTGGTTGAGCAACAATGAAAAAGTAGAGATCATTGTAGAGAGAGAGAGAGAGAGAGAGAGAGAGAGAGAGAGAGAGAGAGTGAGTTGTTGATTTCCATGGTCAACAATAAATCATAGCCACATTGTTAACTTCCTGTGGTTGAGGCACAATGAAAAAGTAGAGATCATTGTAGAGAGGAGAGAGAGAGAGAGAGAAGGAGAGACGAGAGAGAGAGAGAAGAGAGAGAGAGAGAGAGAGAGAGAGAGAGAGAGAGAGAGAGAGGCGGTGCACTTTCAACAAGGTCCAGGTCCAGGTCCTATTAGTGTTAATGTTCCTTTATAATGGCGTGAAGATCTTTAGCTGTGAGGCTTGTTCTGCATATTATTGCTAGTAGTGCAACTTGAAAAATTGTTAATTTTAAGATTGGTTTTCTACCATTATATGTCATCTTTCACTGTATTTTTTCTCTTCTTTTGGTACAGTAGTCCAATAATCACATATATCCATCCCTTTTTGTTGTGTTTCCAATATGAAAAGTACTTGGGGCATTCGATTATTTGGGATATACCATGCAGGCCATAGAGCTAGAGACGTACATGCACATTCAAAAAGCATATATACACAATATTTAGACATCCGAAGGCATAATTTTACATAAGCATGCCGGTGCTTGTGACCTTGAATGTGTTTTTCCCTCTAGGAATATGGTGATGTTTTCATCATTTTCATGTATTGTCACATGTAGATTTGTTGTACTAGGCCATAATCCTCTTCTCTGAGATACTTTTTTCTTAAATCTTTTGCAGGAAGATTTGTTCCTGGTTGCTACACTCTTGCTGTCTCAGAGGCACTGCCAGAGGACTTGCAGGTTTGTATCTTCTATTCTTTTTAGTCACTGCAATTTATATTACTCGGTAATAAAAATGATTTCACACTTAAGAAAATAGTTTTTCCATGTATTCAGTCACTCAAAGGTTAAGAGGATTAACTGAATACTGACTTATGCATGCAAAGTATAAGCCGAATAAGCTGATTTACTGCTAACTTGTTTCTGACTTAAGGGGATTAATAGTTTGAACGATCCATCCGAATTAGCTATCTCTTAAGTGTGAACATATTGAAGTTGATTTGCTATTTTATAAGTTAAGTTTGAGAAAAGTGGGGTGTTGCTTGTTAATTTTACTGGTGTTTATGTTTGTTTGTCTTGCTAGTTATTTTTGCAACTTGAACTGTGCTTAGTGGTCTCTTTACATTTTGAGTTTATGGAACTTTTAAATTGCAAGATTTCAGAGAAAGTTGTACTGGTGTGTTTCAGGTTACTGTTTCCAGGATTCACTTGCTTGCACCATTTAGTCTGGTTATGCTAATTGCTGCATATTTTGATGGTTCTTCAACATCCCTTCTCTGCCTCCTCAACCCTTCTTTTCGTCTTCTTTCCCTTTCTTCTCTTTTTGTTTGTTTGTTTTTTTTCCTTTACTTTGGGAGCAAAGTGGAATGTGATTCATGAAGATTTTGTTTTACATGACAACTGCAGGTTGAATTTCATTAGCCACTTGATGTCTTTTTGGCTGCTAAGCATTTTTTTTGTGGCTGCATTTTATTTGATCTTTTATACTGTTAATTTGTATGTTCATTTTCTTATTTGTATGTTGTGCATCATCTAAAATTGTCCATTCTGTTGGGCTTCTTGCAGAATTTATGTGAAGATGAACGTGTACAATACATTCCACCAAAACGTGTATGAGTGTCCAGTTGATTTTTTTTTTGTCCATCATGTTTAAGAATGAGTTGAACACCCTCAACTTTCAGAGACCCACAGGTTGTCAGCTTTCTCGAGTGAATGTGCAGTAGGTATCTGGTGTAAGCTTACCTGGCTAGTAATGCTGTATGTACTTCAGTGTTCACGTCTTGTGGACATGGAGATTCTAGATTCGGCTAATACCTAATTTGGAAGTTTGGTTTTTGTCTAGACAATGACTTATTAAGAATTCTTTCAGAAAATGGATTTTCTTACTTTTGTCCTTTTCATAGTTAGCAAGTCTATCATTTCCATATCGTATTAAATCTTTGGCAGATTACTTTCACAGCAAGGGTTTTAATATTGGAATGGTAAGGTTTTTTTTTTTTTTTTTTTTTTTTTTTGGTTTTTTTTTTTTTTTTTTCTTAATTATCACTTTTAATTTCTTGATTATTGGATTTTTTTTTTTTTTTTTTTTTTTTTTCTAATTAATCACTTTTTAATTTCTTGATATGGATATATAATTTGATATTTTCCAGTTCATTTTGATTTTTGCAAGGTCCCGAACATGCTCACTGCTCAGGGAGAATGCCGAACATTTATTAGAAGAGGCATGAGTTAGAAAACACTTATTAAGTCTTAACAAACTTGCTACGAAAGCATTAGATTGAGAAATTACCTCCCATACATCTTTTGCTTCAACAGGTGCATCAATTGGACCTTCGCCAATATAATCCTACTGAGCGACTCAGAAGATTTCCATGGCTTTCTGTCTATAAACAGAACAACTAGATTCAGAGCTCATACAAAAATTTGAACCAAATTTCATAACTAATTAAGAGATAAAAAGTCGAAATGGGTTAATTTGGAATTGGGAACTTGACAAAAAGAGGCAACACAACTAGCAATTTGAGTATTGTTTTGTATACCACTTCTGAGAACAAAAGAAAAATAATTTAAGAACTAACATTCTTCTTATGAGCCCATAAAAGAATTAATTCAGTGATTGAACGCATTTTGTTAGTCGTATTATCCATCAGCTTGAAACTAAAATTTAATATCTACAAACACGACTAGCTCTTTAGCAAACCAACTCGATCAGCTTTGGTGGCACGAGGGATGCCACGGTTGCAGTAAAATATCGAAATCATGATAAAATTGACATAGATATCAAATTAAAGTGAAATTATAAAATATTGTAAAGTTTGGGGTGAACTGATGCATGCATGCAATTTGATTCTAAGTTGTTTAGTGGGATGCAAAATTGTTACATTTGACATCTTCAACCATTTTAAGAACTTGCTTAAAATAATAATAAAAAAATATCAAATTGAACACTGTGAACCAATTTAGCCTCTGATTATTCCATGTATATATAATTTTGAGAATTCTTGTATTGATATTGATTAAAACTATAATTAGGTTCGGATTGTATAATTTATTAAAATAAATAAATAAATATGAAATAGAGAAAGATAATATATGAAGTATATACTTTGATCCGATGATTTTGAGTTTATAAAACATGTATTAATATGAATATTGACACATATTGCTAGGTTATTATATATAAAATCCATGGTTTCTTATATTTAGCGAATTAAAATTACATCATATGTTTTGTAAAATATATTAGAAGAAATGATAATTTTATAATTTTTAAACTTTTATTTAAAGTATTAAAAAATTTGATCAAATTCGATTTCTTTTTTATTTTGCTGAACAAATTTAAAGGCTAAATTTAACTTTATTTCCATTTTATTTGTACTAATAATCAAATCATCCATAATTTTTTGCTCTAGAGTTAAAGTTGGGTTTCTTTGTACTGCACCAATTAAAAAAACAAAACGGGTCACAACCATTTCTTGATACGCTAGTCGGTAACCCGTCCTTTTAACGACTGAAGAATATCTCTCCCGTTTCAGTCTCTGCCGTTAGCGCCGAAGGGCGAGAGATCCAATCAAGGAAATACCCTACAAGACGAGTTGACGCAGTGAGTGCGTCGAGTGACTCGGTACCTGTAGAGGATGGATCCAGCTACAACGCCGCTAGGCAAAATGTTGCTGGAGGAAATCACTCCGGTGGTCATGGTTCTCCGTACGCCTCTTGTAGAAGAGGCCTGCCTCAAAAACGGTCTCTCCTTTATAGATATGCTCAGTCCTTTCTGCAACTTCAGTAACATCGACGGTTAGCCTCTCTTCTCTTTCAATACACTACAAATTTGTGTTTGTATGTTGTAATTGGAGTTTTGAGATGAATTGTACTGGAAATTAAGGTGTTTCTTGTTTCGATTTTAATGCAGTGCCTGTACGGACGTCGAGTGATCAACCCTACAGACTACAGAAGTTCAAGCTGAGGTTGTTTTACGAGGCAGATATTCGGCAGCCAAATCTGGAGGTAAATGCTATGATTTTTTGGCTGATAGCATATGTAATCTTTGAATTGGAATTTTTAAATTTTTAGTTTTTCTTGTAGAAATTTTAGCAAGTTATGTTATTTTCTTAGTTTTGTTTTGATATCCTTCCCTTATTTCTTAGTCAGATTTTTCTTTTTTCAATGTGTGTTTGATTTGGTTGAGGGTAATTGTAAAACTAACATCACATGAACCATCAGTGTGGAAATTTTAGCTTCTTTTCTTTTTGTCAATTTGTTAATGTAGGAATTTTGTATTTGGTCAAGAAGGGTTTCCAGGTCCTGGGAAATATAGGAAGAATTGTCTGTTTATCATCACGTTAGCAAAACATGCAGCCTGCTATTATATATTGATCTGCGAACACATTGGCAAATTAGTGGAGTGGAAAGTTATTGTATGGCAGTGAAATTTTCTTTCTGAGTGTTATTGGTTATATCTGGATAATATTTTTGGTTCAACTAGGTAGCAAAGGAGAGACTAAAGCAGGTTATAACCCAAGCTGGGGAGATAGACAATTCTGAATTGTGCTCGGACCCACCTCCTATTGGTAATATACTAGCTAGTAAGCTGTTTTCTTTTTTTTTTTTTTTTTTTTTTTTTTTTTTTTTTTTTTTTTTTTTTTTTTTTTTTAATGTCTTTTCTAATGGATGAAAATACATCGTACAAGATTCTTTTAACAATTATTTAGAATCCTATTTTTCCTCTTGGAAACTGAGTTGTGCTCTATACCTGTTCTAGTAAATATACACTACTAGCTGTTTATCTTTTTTTAGAGATATTTAATGATGCTAATCTAAATAGTTTGTTTCTTTAACGGAAACTTTCTTTGGCTACTGATTCTGCATTTTGTTTTGGAAACATTTTCTGCACAGAAATACTTGGAAACTCCTCGGAAATGTCTTGGGACCGTTTCCTGGCCATTTCCATAAATTGAGTAATTTGGAAGCAGGTTTCCCCTCTTGTAAATACGTTTCCGTAAACTGGAAACTTTCAAAAGCTCATTTATCTAATTAAAATAAATACATAAATAAATACAAATTCACAAAACATGTGTTTTTTATGAGTATGGAACTTGTAGTTCTCTTGGATATGATTAAAATGTTGCTTGAACTTTACTTGTTGTTGAATATATTTAATGATTTATAATAATTTATTTTTTTATATTTATAAATTTACACATTTCCCCATGTATCCGTTTCCTATACTTTTAAAAATACCGTTTTCCTCGTGTCTGTTTCTGCGTTTCCACGCTTCCACGTTTCCGTGCAACATAGTTTAAAACAGCCGTCTCATGTCTTTAGTATTTACTTTTTTTTTTTTTAGTAAAAATGTTTTTAAGCATCATAATGCTAATGAACTCTTTACTTTAGATTTGAGCTTGGAGGATTAGTATAAGTTAATACATTTCATTGCTCTTGTGCAGGCACTGGATCTGAAGTTCTACCATCATGGTTTGAATTTTTTAATAAAGAGCTTGTGCGCACTGTGTCTTTTTCAGATCATGAAGCTTTTGATCACCCTGTGTCATGTAAGCTTTCAAACATTATTGGGAATTGTACTACTTGTTACTTTTTCACTTCTTATTTCATTTTGCTCAATACATTTGGTCCATTTTATTCCTGGAAAGTTTTTTTTTTTTTTTTTTTTTTTTTTTTTTTTTTTTTTTTTTTTTTTTCAAATGTAGATATCCTTTTTGGACATGATTTTATGTTAATTTTTAAAATTAATTTGCAGGTCTTTTGGTTGTTTCTTCAAAGGATGAACAACCTATCAATAGATTTGTTGACCTTTTCAATACTAACAAGTTGCCGTCTCTTCTTAATGATGGCGCCATGGACCCGAAGATTTTAAAACATTATCTATTGGTGCATGATAATCAAGATGGCTCCTCAGAGAAGTATGGCTGTATTTTTATTGTTTTTATGTTTTGGTTCTTGTTATGTTTTAAGCGTCATGTTTCTATAATAATGGCAATATAATTGCATTGCATTTGATAGAGGTGGCAACTTAACCAGAGGATCTACTATGTTGCTATCTTTCCCTTATTCAATTATTCTTTCTGTTTATGGGGATAAAGGATCAGTGTGTAATTTCTGCATGGTTGTGAGGAAGAATTATTTATAATGAAACATAGATTACTAGTTAGCTGCTTCATAAACATTGGTGAAAGATGATTCAAGTTATGAACCAAAGAAGGAGATGTTGGGGCTTGAAGGAAGAAGCATATGGTAGATTAAATACGATGGAAACATGTTAAAAAAAAGATGCCTATGCTGCTACATTCATGTCAAGTTTCCTGGTTCACTTCAGCATTTCATTGTCACGTGGGCTTAATGAGAAAGGGAGGGAGTGAGCACGAGTAGAAATGGGAGAAAACAGATTGTGGGCTCTGAAAGGAATTAAAAAGAAAAAGAAAGGAAAAGGGAAGTGGTTTCTATATTATGCACTGAAAGGATATCTACAGAAGGTTAGCAAAGCTATTCGATTAGGGAAAATATCAAACATAACAATTTTGCTACAAAGGAAGCTAAATTGGCTGTGAAGTAAACACAATGATGAGATTAAGTATTTTGATGCCTTGGAAAAGAAGAATAGAGTTACTCTGGTAGAAGGTTGGAATTTATATTTATGTTGAGTTGAGAATTAGCAAAGGAGAATATATCTATCTATATACTTATCTATTATATATATATATATATATATATATATATTATTTTGCAGGCTAGGAATTTCTTGGATATTATAATTTGCGACTTGGTTTCTTGGTTATGGGTATGGAAAAAATTGAGAACCTTGAGTTTCAATTATCCTTTAGATGTTTTAATAAATTCATTTTTGAAGAAGATAGGATAACGTTGTTGATCCCAAGTGCAAATAAATTATACCAAGAACTTGAAGGAAGGGTTTTTATTTTATTATTTATTTATTTTTTTTGGGGGGGGAGGTGGGGGGGGGGGGGGGGTGGTGGTGTTGGGGCGAGAGAGAGGGAGTAATTCTCAATAGGCCCTTACCTGACAACCCTCTTTATGCTGCCAACATTTGAAATAGCATGGTGCATTTCTTCACACAAATAATAAAGAAACCAATAGTTCCAGATCAGTCAATCAATTCAACAGTATAAGACATAACAAAGATTCTTTAGACGCGCTATGTTTGTTCAGTAGCTATGTCCAGTGGAGGGCTTTTTTGTTAATAACCTTCTTCCTTGTTGCATTCAAAATTCTCTTTTTACTCTTCATAGAATCTGTAATTGCATAGTGGTTGCATTATCCAAGAGATGGATATTTTATCCCTTTTCTGAAAGCAAAATATCTAGACACATGAGTAGCTGTTTTTTTGCTTAGTTTATTTTGTATGAGGTGGAATTCATGCATTTTTATTTGCATATGTCTTTCATGATACTGTGACGATTGGAACTACATTAGTGGGTTCTAGAAAAGTACCCATTTTACCTAGTCTTCTCATAAAAGGAGAAGTAAAGGAAAATAATTTTCTTGTTCTATCTGTAATATTCAAACTTTGATTTAGCTATTTTCTCTATTCTGTTCTGTATTTACTTTAGGTAATTTTTAGCGTCTTTCATCCTTTTAGGTTATAGGACTTCATTGTTTGGGATAAGTCTATATGGCATGAATGTGGTGCGATTGGCCTTTTTATCTCATTTCTCTGCTTGCAGGGCAGCAAAACTTTTAACAGAGATGAAAAATACATTTGGTTCAAATGACTGCCATGTGCTTTGCATTAATTCTTCTCAAGATGGGCCAATAGAGCATCAAGAAAACTTGTGGGCTTCTTGTGTAAGCTAACTTTAAATATTCATTCTATTTTTAAAGATAACTCCATCTGATATATAATCTTTGGTTTGAATTATTGGACAACATGAATAAGATTAAGGCTGTTGTCTTGTTTATTTATGTGACAGAAATCTGTTGCTTCTCCAAATCAGCATCTTGGTTGTTTCCTTAATATTGATGATGTTAATGAGGTAATTTGCTTTCATTTTCATTAGTTAATGTTTCTTTTTTTTTTCCCCTTAAACAAATTGAAATGATAATTTCTGTAGATACTTTAATCAAGTATGATTTGTACAAATTGGTGCAGATAAAGGATTTGATGCAAGAATTATCATCTAAACATGTCATCCCTTACATGGAGCAGAAAGTCCGTGTGCTCAATCAACAGGTATTGAATCTCTAAATTTTCTTTTTTCAATTTGTGAGGACTAAGGAGATTCTAGTTCTTTCTAGTGCATTACCTCCTCTTTTCTTTTTCCATTTTCCTTTTCTGTCTTTCCATTTTTTTTTAAGTTATATCCAATCGACTAGGTATCTGCTACAAGGAAAGGTTTTAGAAACCAAATTAAAAACTTATGGTGGAGAAAAGGGAAAGAAGACACACCAGAGTCGGCCAATGGCCCCATGTATGTTCTGCAGATTTTTTTTTTTTTTTTTTTTTTTTTTTTTTTTAGATTTTTTTTTTTTTTTTTTTTTTTTTGGTTTTTTTTATAAATATGGATGTGTTGTTTCATGTCTTCGGCTTCTTACTTTACTTTTTCTAATTTACATTTTTTTTGAAGGTATACCTTCAGTTCTATTGTTTTTTTTTTTTTTTTTTTTTTTTTTTTTTTTAAATTATGATGTTGTTTCATGTCTTCGCTTCTTACTTTACTTTTTCTAATTTACATTTTTTTTTGAAGGTATACCTTCAGTTCTATTGAGTCTCAGATTAGAGTTCTGGGTGACTTTGCTTTCATGTTACGAGATTATGAACTTGCATTGTCAAACTATAGGCTTATTTCCACAGATTATAAGCTTGATAAGGCTTGGAAGCGATATGCTGGTGTACAGGTAATTTCAATTCTTTTTTCTTTAATCCTCTTATTTGGTCAGTTTGATAGCCAGTTTGTTATTTGCGAGTGAATAATACCTTGAACAGTTCTAAATGATTTATTTTGGTCTCATTGAACATGGAGTAGCTTTCTTCATTTTTCTGCTCTCTCTCTGTTATTCCTCCCTGTTTCTCATACAAGACTGTATTTTGTTTTGCAAAATATCATGTGCTATATAATAAATAGAAAATCTGGTCAATCCAAACTTGTTTTAGGCAATGTTTGTGCAAAACCTTGTTGTTGGACCTTTTAGGGAAGTGATACTTTCTTTTTATGGTTGGTTTTACCACCACTAGGTGCGGTACATTATGTTTGCTCTGTACAGTGTGTGTTTTGGCTTTTTACAAACAGTGTCATTTTTTATTCGATAAATGAAAGGACTAGAAGCAGTGCCTGTTGATTTTTCTTTTTTTTTTTTTTGGTTTGGGGACGTGTGTACAAAAGAAACTTTATTCGTAAAATTTGTGCATGTTCAAAATACTTTGTCCAGAAGATAAAAAAGTGATTAATTGTTAATGTTCTATTTTGCCTACCTGCCCGGAGTTCATTGTTCTGCTCTCGCTACTCTAGCTTGAGACTGAAAACTTATCTAATCCTCTCCTGGCTATGTTGCATGGAAACACCACTTAGGTTGCATTTCCTGTTTCCAAATGGGAGTGTACAACATGGATCGGAAACTTCTTGAAGCCATTTTTGTAATTTTCCAAAAAAATGGAAATGTGTATCTAGCTAAGAAACATGTTTGTTGTTTTAAAAATCCATTTTTCAACACTTTCCATCGAGCCTTCAAGAATAAATGACAACTGCTCCAAAAAAACAAAGTGAGAACCTGTTGATCTCTCTCTTAGCGACTACAGCAGGACGAGTGGGATGCACCATCAATGGTGACACATCTCATTCTCTCTCTCTCTCTCTCTCTCTCTCTCTCTCTCTCTCTCTCTCAAAATTGCTTCATCCCAAGACTAGGCTTTATTTTCTTTCTTGCTTAGTTGCTACTTCTTCTCTATGTCGCCGATGCCATGTTGGTGATACTGTTGTCTTTCATTCATTTAATTTTGGCGGATGCTGCTGCTGTGCTTTTTGTGGCTTTTTGCATCTTGGATGGGCATTTGTCCCTAATCGGCAATAAACATTGCCTTAATTTATTTATTTATTTATAATGCTTTAGTTAGGTTATTCGTTTGGGGCTTTAATTAATTAGTTTATAATGCTTTATTAGGTTATCAAATTGGAAAATAATGTCAAATTGGAAACTAATGATGGTGAACAATAGTTTATGTGAAATTTTTGATATTTGTAAAATGCCCCGATATTTTTTATATTTACATGTTTTCCGCATTTCCATTTCGTATCCATTTCCTTTTCCCATTTCCCAATCTGATCAGAGTGGATATTTGAAACAAAGAATTCATATAGTCACCCCAACTAGTTTAGGGTTAAGGCTTGGTTGTTGTTTTTTTGTTGTTTTATCCATTTTCCATTTCCGTTTCCGCATTACTGGTCTCCTGTTAACACTATCTGTATTCTTCTTTTTGTTCATGCAGGAAATGATGGGCCTTGCGTACTTTATGTCGGATCAGTCCAGAAAGGAAGCTGAATATTGCATGGAGAATGCATTTACTACTTATTTAGTATGTATAGCTCTTTCTCGCTTCGTTGTTAATTCATGATATATCATTGTTTTGGTTAGTCAACTCTAGAATGCTATTTTCAACTTTGTTTAATTACATTGCATCTGGTATGTGTACAGAAAATTGGGCCATCTGCTCAGCAAAATGCTACACGCTGTGGTCTTTGGTGGGTGGAAATGTTAAAGACAAGAGATCAATACAAAGAGGCTGCCACAGTTTACTTCCGCATCAGCAGTGAGGTAAGTCCAATATTATCTTACAAATCAATAGTGGTACATATTTTGTGTTATTAACAAAAATTTTCTTCTCAGGAGATGCTACATTCGGCTGTTATGCTTGAGCAAGCATCTTATTGCTACTTGTTGTCTCAACCCCCCATGTTACACAAGTATGGATTTCATCTTGTTCTTTCTGGTGATCGTTATAAAAAATGTGACCAGGTACCTATTTATGAAAAATTCTACATATGGCCTGTGATATATTGCTTCTTCTGAAAATAATTTTTGCTTCATTGGTTCATCTTCTCTAGGTTAAACATGCAATTCGTACATATAGAAGTGCTATCTCTGTTTACAAAGGAACTACTTGGAGCTACATCAAAGATCATGTTTATTTCCATATCGGACAGTAAGTTATTTGACGTGATGCTGTTGTATTTGCATGATTTACACATTTGCACTACAAAATTTATAATGTGGAAGATTTTTAGAGTACTGATGGTGGGATTGTTGCATAATGTAGATGGTATGCTTTTCTTAGACTGTATGATGTGGCTGCCAGTCATATGTTGGAAGTCCTGACCTGTAGTCATCAGTCCAAGACAACACAGGAGCTATTCCTCAGAGAGTTTCTTCAAATTGTTCAGGTACTTGCAAATTCTCACTGTCATGCTTGTTAGATATGTTAGAAAAAGCAATGTATAGGGTTCTTAGGACTCTTGGGGTGTAACCCTTGTTTTCCACATTTCCATGCAATTGAGCCTGGATTCATGTGGAACTTCTTTGACTCAGATAATCTAATATATTTTTATACAAGTAGGTTGCTGGTTGAGTGCCTTTGAATTTACCTTAATTTCTGAATGGGGACTTCGATAACTCTAATCTGCACTATATTTTCTCATGATAATTATGGCTACTGTGCATTCCCATTTAGTGACAGTTTGTTTATATCTTGTTTGACTGCAATGCAGAAGTTCTCTTGTTGATGCTGCTGTTGTGCTTCTTGATTTTGGAATATTAATTAATACATTAGTTTTTCCTGCGTAACATGATTTCAGTGCCTGCCATGTGGAGAAATTCAGGAAATTGATTTCCAGCCTGTTTGGTTTAGTTGTTCATACTAGCTTGTAGTTGATAACGGTTGCTAATAGCTAGTGGCTAGTAGTGGTTAACTAATGAATGTTGGTTTCATGTGAAATTTTGGTAGCTGTTTCTGTTAAAATGTAAAATATCCATTAAGGGTATAATTGTTTTTACATATATGATGTATAATGCACATATATATACATATTATGATGTACAATGCGCGCGCACACACACATATGCATGTATAAATATATATATATATATATTGATGTACAATGCGCAGCGGCACACACACATTATGGCATGTATAAATATATATATATATATATATAATTAATTTTTTTACGGTAAAAAATATTATTTTTTATTTTAATGTATTATACAAATAAAATATCAATTAAAAAAAAAAATTTTTTTTAAACAATATTATAATAGAAAAATTTTTAATTTTTAAATAAAGTATAAAACAAAATGATTTTTTTAAGGTAAAAATATTATTTTTTATTTTAATGTATTATACAAATAAAATTATCAATTAAATTTTTTTAAACAATATTTAATAGAAAATTTTTATTTTTAAATAAGTATAAACAAAATGATTAGAAAAATATTAATTTGAGAAAAAAAAATTTATTAGAAATTATTTTGAGGTTAATAAAGTCCAAATAAAATTTAAATACAAATTAGCTACCAGTCCATACGAAAAAACTTCAAAATGTAGTTGATGGAATCAACAGCTGATTGAGACTTTCATCAGCTATCAGCTGCCGATTAAAAAGGATCATCGAACACCTATAACCTAGCTGTTGGATACGAATAAGATATGAGTTGCATGAATCAACTGAACTAAATGCCCTCTAGTGTACAAGTCTTCTAAGCCTATAGCAACCGTTGTCTGTACTGAGAAGAGAATCCTTTTGAGAGTTTGCATCTTATTAGAAAGCTAGTTTCTTGACATGGTACTGTGGACTAGTTTGAGATTAAGACTTGGTTGTTATTGCCCTCTTATTACAAAGTTAGAGCATGGTACTTATAATCTTCCATTGAAGCTTAAATTTTTTATTGCTATTTGGTGCTTTATTTTAAGCTTAGTTGAGTTCAGTATTGGTTCTGTCTTGATCATGCAGACCTGTTAATCTTAGCATCTTACATCACTTGTGAACTTGACTGTCATATTCTTGGATATTGTAGAAAACGGGGAAAACATTTGAGGTATTAAGACTTCAGTTGCCTGTTATAAATATCTCATCACTCAAGGTTGTTTTTGAAGATCATCGAACCTATGCATCACCTGCAGTAGTAAGTTGAATTTTATGTATTGCTTATATGAAACTTAATTTTTTCACTTACAGTTATAAAGCTGAAGATTGTTATTACTTGTATAAAGATGCCATTTTTCTCTTTCTGTTCTTTCCCTTTATTTGGATATGGTTAAATTGTTTTGCTCACATCATTCATACATAAGAGAGATGCACATGCAACTATGCATGTTCAAAGAAAGATGTATGCTTGCTGACATAAATAGGAATATAGGCCAAAATAGTAAAATAGTGTACTAGTAAAATATGCAATTGGGCCCTTCGTGTTCAAGTTTGGTCAGTTACATATTAATGATGTATTGTTCAATCAATTATGCCCTTGTGAGAAAATATATATGCTGCTAACAAGGTTAAAAAAAAATTATTAATATTTGTTTACTATTTTAATAAATATTTTAAACTTTATAAAAAATACAAAAGTTCATTCTCTCACTAAATTCTTTAATCTCTCGAATCCCCTCCCTCCTAATTTTATCACAAATTCTCACTAACCAAACACAATACTCTCTCCCCTCTCTAATCTTCAAAACCTTCTGCCAAAAATTCCCTAATTCCCTCGTACAGTTGCGTCGCCAAAATAAAAGTTAAAAAATTACATGAAATATTGGAGGGTGAAGAAGAAAGCTTAGGGAATCAATGGCCTTTGGGCATTCTTCTCTGAGTTGTTGTGGTCATTGAAGAAAAATCTATTTGCTTGAAGAGAATTGATTTATCCATTTTGTTTTGTTTTGTGATTATTTTAATGGTTATGGAACTTCTGTTTGGAGCTGTCCTTTGTCACATCCATGGTGGTTGGGACTCACATCTAGTAGTGGTATCTCTTTTTTGGCAACTGGATGCCTCTACTTCAACATCTACATTCTGCACTAGAGTTCCCAGGACATCAAGTGCGATGTTATAAATTATTGGAAGCTGTTCACCACTTGAAGTCTTTTGGATACAAGCTACTTTGATGCATTTACTTGTCTTTTGCCTCTGATGTAGAAATTGGTAGCAAATGATGGCGATAAGAATTTGCCTATTACCATATCTTCAACAAAGGAGGGAGGTGAGGATGCAAGGAATGAAGTATGGGTGTAGGCCATGGTTTGTTGTTTTAGAATGGAGTCAATGAAACATTTTTAGAAGATTTATTAAAGTGATAAAATATTTAAAAGAATAAAATAATACTATTTTGATTTGTCAGCAGTATATAAATTTATTCTCAGGAAGGCTTAATTGGTAAAAGATAGAATACTATTTGCATCCAATTGAACAAAGTGAAACATGAATGTCCCCACTGTGCAAATTAGGATGATGTGAACGATTATTTAGGTGATGCAATTTGTAAAACATAACTTTGTACATCAAACATAATGTACTTTTGTTATAAATTCTGCTGATTGTGATCTTTATTGCAATCTTCACAATTGAAGGACTATCTGACTAGAAGGTTACCTTGTGGTTGATGCTATTGTTTCATGTCAAAATATTCCAGGTTACTGTTAGAGAAAGTTTGTGGCGTTCATTAGAGGAGGACATGATTCCTTCATTGTCCACTGCCAGGACTAACTGGTTGGACTTACAATCAAAGCTTCTGCCAAAAAAATATAAGGAATCTAACATTTGTGTGGCTGGAGGTATGAAGGTGATAGTATTTTTGCATAAAGTTCCTTAGTTTTTGGTTGGTTTATATAATACATATTTTGAGTAGTTCTTTTTGCATGTCCCTTCATGATTAGCTCACTTGCTAAGAGTTATTCTTGTTACGTACTGCAGCAGAACTTCTATTTTCTTGACTTCTGATAATAAGTTTCATCTAGGAGGGCTATTTTATTTTATTTTATTATTATTTTTTTTAATATAAAAGAAACCATTTCTAGAGAGATAAATAAAAGTTGCAAAAATGTAGTTCTGCTTATTTGGGAGTTGGGACTTATTATGTTTATTGAACTTTTACTGGCTACAAACTATAGCAAGAACTTATTTCATATATATACCAAATGACTAAGCAGACCACAAGCAAGCACTTAGCCTCATGAGTATCATAGTTATGAAAGCATGGAATGAATATTGCTGGATAGAGCCTTGTGTGAGCATAGCATGTGTCCAGGGGGCAAGAGGGCCTTATCCAGTTTCAGTACTAATACTGGTACTTTTTTGTCTTGTTTGCAGAAGCAATAAAGGTGGATATTGAGTTTGAGAATCCCTTGAAAATACCTATTTCCTTATCTGGTGTTTCCTTGATATGTGAGCTTTCAGGGTCAGATGAGTTGAAATCTGGTAACTATCAGCTGTCTGCAATTCTCTTTGCTGTTGCTGTCTTCCTTTTGTCAATTTGGGTGTAAGCTAATTCTGTGCGGTTGGGTGATTAATATTCTATTGCTGATGCAGATGTAAGTAGCTCAGCCACTGACCTCTGGAATGACGAAGACTATAAAAGGTTGGGGTATGTATGTGAACATTTAATGACTTTTTCCTAAATAATTGTTTCAGCATTCTCTTATAATGTTTACAGATTCTTCTTCCACTTTGACAACTGTTAATTTAGACGTTCACTTGATGACTGTAGGGATATGAAACCAGACACTTCTTTTTTTACTCTGTCAGAGGTTGACTTCACATTGGGAGGGAATGAAACCAATTCAGTAAGTGCTTCCTAGGGAAAATAAGTTTACAAGGATCTGTTTCCTCTCTGAGGCTAGCTGCTTATTATTGTTTTGGAACTTTTCATCATGTGATTTACTAGCTTGGGTCATTGTTGAATTTGTTTTTGCTGTCTTCACTCTATAAATGGAAGAAACTCAAGTAAATTACTAATATACCTTAACTTTGTGGGGCGAGATTTCATTAAATGGAGATTGACTTTTGTGCCATTGTATAAGTTAAATCTTATCCTCATGCTTTGTCCTAGTGGAGCTAGAAATTGAGTAGAGTTTGCTGGAGTTGAAGTATTTGTTTGTTACTTTTGTTGATGTTGAGATTTATTTTCCTTAGCAATGTTCTATTAAGATAACTTGTTTGCCAGTTTCTATTATCTCAGGAAATTCAGGTTTATTTCTAACCTATTTTGCCTTTTCAGGTGCAACTAACGGTTACTCCCAGAGTGGAAGGCAATCTAAACATTGTAGGAATTAGATGGAAATTATCAGGTTCAGTGGTTGGTTATTACAACTTAGAGGCCAATCTTGTGAAGAGGAAAAATAATGCAAAAGGAAGGAGGAAGGCTAAGCATTCCCTTAGTCATGACCTTAAATTTATAGTGATCAAGGTGTTAGAAAAACCCATCTGTCCCTCACATTGCTTGTTCTGTTGAATTTGCTTTGCAGATTAAGTTTGTTCAACTTTTCCTTCCTTAGTCTATTTTTTTTTTCATGTTCAGAATCTACCCAAGTTGGAGGGCTTCATACGCTCTCTGCCTGAGAAAGCATATGCAGGAGATTTGCGACATGTTGTCTTAGAGTTAAGGAACCGGTCAGAGTTTTCTGTAAAGGTATGCTTTTTACAGGCAATCTAATAGTAATTTGTCATCAGTTAATAGTATCTTGTATTTATCTTCTCCGAATTGGGTAGTGTAGTGGAACTTCTTGATTCCATGGGGAAAAATCAGGTTGGCCTTTTGAGCCATCATTCTCGTGATTCTGATTCTCTTATTCTTGTATTTGGTAATGTTGCTCAAGCTGAAAGCCTGGGAGAAAATTAATCTATTCCTTAGAACAGAGTTCAGCTTACCTAGGTGGATGCTGGGTTTTCTTTTTCCACATATGCAAGCATGCTTTTTTTCCCCTGTTTTCTGTAAGATGCATATGTTATCGTTTCTTTAAATTTATTGCATGGTTTTTAAATTCTGGCAGAATCTGAAAATGAAGATCAGTCATCCTAGATTCCTTAATATTGGGAATCATGAGGATTTAAACCTAGAACTTCCTGATTGCTTGGAAAAGAAGACAAGTATTGAACAAAATGGAGTACCAGCCGATTCCAAGAAAGTGTCTCATGGTGTTTTTCTATTTCCAGAGGTCCGTTGGGCAGTTTGCCATCTGCATTGTCTTTTGGCAATTATCATCAAATTAGTTTAAGGTCGTCTTTGACTATATGCCTTACATTTACTTGGTATTTCAGGATATCTCAATAGAAAGGGAAAGACCTTTATTGTGGCCTCTTTGGCTTCGAGCTGCTGATCCTGGAAATATTTCCTTGCATATAGTTATATACTATGAGATGGGGGATGCATCGAGCGTCATGAGATACCGCACTCTACGAATGCAGTATAATTTGCAGGTGCATAGTAAAATATGTTAGACAGATTTTTGATTAAACTTCTTTCTTTTTTCTTATTGTAAAAACCACCTGTTACCATATGAAATACCGATAATAACATGTGCTGCTTTTGGGACAGAATGCTAATCCTGAATAGATTTCTTTTACTTGTGATAAGATAAAAATGCTTTTCTGGATTAAAAAAGCATATATTTTACTGTAAAGATAATTACCTTGAGTTTGATTCTTACTTTTTTTGTTTTCTTCCTTTTCCTTTGTCAAGAATGAAATATTGTTGAGTTGGTGATGCACTTGTTGATAAAAATTTCCGATCATATTAATGTTAATTTGTTAAAATTTGTTTTTAATAGGTATTACCGTCATTAGATGTGTCCTTTACAGTAAGTCCTTGTCCAGCAAGATTGCAAGAGTTTCTTGTGCGTATGGATGTCGTCAACAAAACTAGTTCGGAAAGTTTCCAGGTTAATCAGTTAACATCTGTTGGATGCCAGTGGGAAATTTCACTGCTTCAACCTGTTGAATCCATTTTTCCTTCAGAATCTTTAATTGCTGGTCAAGCATTATCTTGCTTCTTCATGATCAAGGTAGGTGAAATAATTCCTCTTTACCCTTTTCTCCACCTTCCATGTCTCAGAGGCAAACATGCTAATTTTTCCATTTTCTATTTTCTTATGGCTCTGTTGACCCTAATGCATAGGTTGCAAGTGGGTTGAGTCTACTTGAGTTCTAGCTAGTTAAAGCTGGTTTGTTCATAAAATGAGTGCTGGAGGCTCCTTTTAAATGAGCCAACCTGAGCAAGTGCAATTATTTTTTATATTACTTAATTGAAATTCTAAACATAGCAAAACTTGTACTTAGTACTTTATTGGGAAAATATGTAATTTTTAAGTTTTTTTATGTTCCAAGTATAAACTATAAAGTTGAGAAATTATTAGCGGTCAAGCCTAAATGAGCTTTATCTGTAACATATAGAAATGTGGAATGAAGGGAGAATAATGGGTTTGTGAAAATTATCCTTAGTAATATTAGAGACATCCTTAGTTATGGTCAATTAAAAAATTAAGTAAAATAATAAAGAGTTTTAATTTTTTTATCTTCTCTGTTTTCTTTTTTTTTTTTTACAATTTGATTGGATTTATTTTTTCTAAAAATTTTATTTTTTAATAGACATATAAAGATAATTAAGACTTTGAAAATTTTTATCTTTTTAGTTTATTTTTAAACACACACACACACACACACACATGCATATGTATGTTTGTGTAGATTTTTTTTTTATTTTTCTACAATTTGATTGGATATCTTTTTAAAAATTAATTTTTAAATGAATACATATAGATAAATGAATACACACACACATGATATATTGTTTTAAGTTTGAAAATTAATTTGCCATAATAATGTCTTTAGAAATTTAATCATTTTAATTATATATCATTAAATATTGATGTAAACATTATAAATCAATAAATAGACATCATTAAATATGAGCTTTTTACATTTTTAATTTTACTTTATTTTGATTGGATTATGTGTTTTTTAAGGTTGATATAAAAATTAATATTTATTTAACAGTTGATATGTGGTCATTGTATTTATCTTATTCTTAATATGAATGCATGTATTAATAATGTTATAAAAATTAAATAAGAAGAAAATTATGATCAATACTTACGTATTATGACAAAAGTAAACAAGTATAAACAATGAGTAAATAATGAGCAATGGCAATGTGCAACACGTCATAAAAAAACTAGTGTAGATAAATGATTTAAACTAGCCATTGTCAGGCCGAGTCACGAAGGCAGTCATGAACGGCTCAGTTTGCGGCCCTATCTTTGCACCATCTTAATTGTATGTGTTTCTCTGGAAGTCCATCTGCACAGACATTTTAAAATCCAGCAGATCATGCTAATATTTTGCATATTTTTCTTTGGTTTCAGAGCCGTAGGAAATCATTAACTGCTGAAGAAAGACTCTTGCTTCTTTCCTCTTTCCCTGGAAGTGATGTAAAGTTGACTCCTGAGGGTTGCAAAGATACACTTTTTGACATATCAAGGTCACCTTTGGCTAATTTTCATTATTGTGAAAGACTGCAACATGAAACTTCTAATCAGGTTGGTAATTTCTATCATAAAATTGAATGTGGTTCTATCGCATTTCATTATTGCCTTTCTCGCTATCATAACCATTTTTACCATCTCCTTTACTCACTTGAATATTCAAACTCTAAATTACCATTTGATATTTGCCATAACAGTTATTGTTGAATAAAGTCAAAAATAGAAATTTCTTATATTTGAGTATGATATTCTGACTGACAGAAAAAGGCAAGTGGGCAATATATGGTGGCTAACTATAGGCTATGGCCTTATTGTGTCTGCTTATTTTCGTGCCATACCTGATGCTCTATCAATAATTTGAGCCTTCTGTTTTTCCATGTATTAGGACGAAGCAAATACAGTGGACTTCATTTTGATCTCTAGGCTACTGAAAAGTGATATCAAACCTGGGACTTCTGATCCAACTCATCTATTCTCTCATCATGCGTGTCACTGCAGGCAAGCCTCATATCTACCCTTTGTTTTGACAAATGGTTCACACATAGATGGAATTAATTTATAACTAGATTTCATTAACACAACTTAAATATGGAATTTGAATGAATTTTGTGAAACTTAAATTTGGACCAAACATGTATTTGAATTGAACAGATAATACTTTCCTACATAATTATTTTATTTGGGAAAAAAGATGCATTCACAAAATGGTAAAAAAGAAAAAGTAATTATGTGTTCACTTCCAAAACATAACAAAAATTTTGTTTGAAAGTAGAGAAAAATGGGAGAGAGAGAAAAAGAGAATAGGATGATGTCAAGGGCATGTTTGTCCAAACATTTGGTTTTTTCTTTTATTTAATCCACAGAATTGAATTTTTTTTAGAATTGAAAAAAAAAATAAGTTCTTTTTGTTCTAAACATGAAAACATGAAATTCAAAATTGAGGAATTATTTGTTTCAAATAGTTTGAAAATTTCCTCTTCATTGTGGATTTGATACTAGTTAGTTATGGCTCTGTCTAATTTTTTTTTTTAACTTGTACAGTACTGCTAGCGCAAGCGCAATATCATGGGTGTTGGATGGGCCTCGGACCAGACATCATAACTTTTCTGCTTCATTTTGTGAAATAAACTTGAAAATGACTATTTACAACTCATCAGATTCTGTTGTATCTGTAAGCATTATTACCCTTGATTCCTCGAGTGGCAATGGTCAATTAAGCGATGACGACACAAGTACTTCTGGAAATCAAGTAGGGTGGCACAACCTATCTCTATCGGATGACATCAAAGTGACTTCTGATGTTCCTGGAACCAATATTGCAAAATCGGCATCACAAGAAAGTGTCTCGCCATTCATTTGGTCTGGCACGCGTTCTACCAGAGTTCAACTTGAGCCAATGTCATCATCAGAAATTCCTCTTCAGATTTGTGTATTCTCGCCTGGTACATATGATTTGTCAAACTATGTTTTGAATTGGAAACTTCTACCTGTTAATGATCAAGGAAATGTAAAAGAGACAAAACAGACAATGGGAACAAGCCCTGGATATCCATACTACCTTACTGTTCTCCAATCTGATTGAGATTTGGCCGCGTTTCTCCATCGACAGTTTCAGGTACTACCGTTGTATGACTAATTTTTGTAACCTTTGCCTTGTAAATTATTATTTCAATGTACTGGTTTCATTTTTTTATTTTTTCACAAAAATACGAATTGGGAAAAAAGCCACAGGTAAGCAGGAAACAGAACATTCTTTTTTGCCCCGTAGAAATAATAGTGGGAATGAATGAATGAAACGTTTAAAACAATTGTTCTCTTGGGACGTTCTTTTTGGATTTGCTTTTTGAGATTCAAGTTATTGTTTCAGATGCTATCTTAACAAACTAACCGTTTCTGTGGTGAAAGCAATCTTGTTTATCAAATTGATTCGAAGCTGAGGTTTATTATTTAATTTCTGTCTCTGTATTATATGTAATGCATTAGTCAGGACTCGGAAATGATCTCGGTCGTGAAAAAACTAATATAATAGTCCCATATTAACAATCCGTCAAATAATTTAGTCATCTTGTTTAGGGTTGTAAATGAGCCGAGCTGGGCTCGAACATGTCAGGCTCCAAGTTTGGCTTGATAGAATTTAGCTCGATTCGAAAATCAATGAGTTTAAAAATTTTAGACTTGAGATTGATTCGAGCTCAACTTGAGGTTCCAGTTCAATTGAAAAAATTTTAAATTCGAGCTCGGTTCGAAGTTCGAGTATCCTATTATATATATATATATATATGCTCTTTTCGAACTGACTTCGAACAGTTCGCAAGTCGGCTGATTAGTTTATGCCCTTAATCTTGTTAGTCTTTATCGCAATTACTAATCGTGTTTAATTTTATTGTTGTTTTCATTGTCAATGATAAGTAAGGTCCTCCATTCCCTTTCTTATTTCCATGATCGTGATTATTTTTAGTTAGTCTTTGGTGGCTTACAAGGGATAGGGAATGCTACGGAGATTAGTTGGCCAATCAAGAAACAAAATCAAAGAGAACTGCATAAAGGGGGAGGTATTGAGGAATTTCTTAAATTTCAAATGTGGTTCAAGTGATTATTTTCATTTTTACTAACAGAAAAGAGCTAATGATTTTGAGGGTATCATTGAATTAGTTTACATAATAAAATTCAATTTTTAAAAAATAGAGGTCCAAAAACATGCAATTGAACAACTGACCTAATTTTTCAATACTAACAATTGAGGTATTAAGTATAAAATGGGCTTGAAGCACGAGGTTGTTTCAAATAGTAATATTAAACTATAATTTTTGTATTTTTTTTTTCCTTAAAAATTTTCATAATTTGAAATGGCCAACTATACCGGTACTGTGTAATTGCATTGAATTTGAAGGTCTTTTCGAGCGTGTGCTTCACTCTCCTACGTGGGTGCGTGTATATGAAATTCAAGTAAATAAATGCAACTCAGCGGCTAAGTTCCGTAGTAGTAGATAAACAACTCACTGTCAATGATAAGGAATAATGACTGGAGTGTGGGCCAATTTATTAAACCGGTTCTTAAAATTCATTATTGCATTATGACAAAAATGCATTAGAAAAGGAAGAATTCCGTTGGACTAATGAATTAGAATAATATTATAAGTTACTCATTAATAGTAATTTTTATTCACTAAATTAGTAAAGATTTGAACTCGAGATTTTTCATTCCTTACATCTTTTACGAGAGGTAGAAAGACCAATCAGACCTTTATTAATTGGCTTTTTCATGATATTTAGGTCATCTAATATAATCTTCTTGTATTAAAACAACTTTATCATCTACTCACGTCTGCATACAAAATTGACTAAGGCCCCATTTGGTTTAACTGTTTATATTAATTAATAATTGATAGCGATTGTTGATAACAAGTGGTTGATAGCAATTAACTGATTAATGTTGGTGTTTGATACAATTTTGATAGTTTTTGTTATTAAAATGTAAAATGACTATTAAAGATATTATTTTTTATGTATTAGATGTACTAATAAGTTTTTTTTAATTTTTAAGATGAGTATATTATTTTTATTTTAATGTATTATATAATTAAAATTTTTAAATAATATCTAATAGAAAGTTAGTATTTTTAGATAATTTTATTAATAATATTTTTTTCGGAGATTAATGCAGTTTAAATAAAATATAACTTCAGTAAGCTAATATAGCTAAATCAGTGTTGATTTTGACTCGTTTATATGCGATAGAAAACTTACCAAACATGCAGCAATTGGATAAGAAATTACACCGTATAGCTGTAAATTAAGAATCAACTGTCAACTGCATAAATTAGATAAAATAGTTAATTTTAATATAATATAAAGATAAAATTATAATTTTTATACTCTCTTCGTTTGAAAAAATAGTTCATTTTTTCTTTTTGGTTTGTTCTGAAATATAATTCACTTTCTTTTTTGACTTTATAGTTAATCATTAAATTATCTATTATGCTCTTATTAAATTTTATTTTATTTTCAATAACCCTTATTAATGCTCCATTTGTTTGTATAAAATAATTTGCAGAAAAATATTTTTTATGAAAAACATTTTCCTTGAAAAATATCTTTTAAATGACTTATTTTTTGGTATTTAGTTATAATATTGAAAATTAGTTAAAAATATTAAAGTTTATTTGCCCAGAAAAAATATTTTTTATGAAAAAGCATTTCTTTTGCAAAAAGAGATAATCTTTTAAAATGATTAATTTTTTGGTTATTTAAGTTATAATATTGAAAAATTAGTTAAAAATATTAAATTAAAGTTTTTATCTCATAAGACCATAAAAATATTAATAATAATAAAAATTTTATAATTTAAAAAGTTTTATTGTTAAATATGAGAAGAATAAAAAATATAAATTATAAAAGCTGTCGGTGGTGGTGGTCGGTGGTATATGGTAACTGTTCTAGTGACTACGGTGATTAATAGCTAAAAAAAATGATTTATAAGGTTTATCAATATCTGGAAAATATTTTACTCTCTTGAAAATAGAAAGTTATTATTCTTAAAAAATGATTTAATTTTCATTTGATTAGGAAAATATTTTCCGTTAACTTATTTTTCTAAACGCTCCAAACAACGGAAAATTGTGAAAAATATTTTCCTGAAAATTATTTTACGAATTATTTTTTTGATTAGGAAAATATTTTCCGTTAACTTATTTTTCTAAACGCTCCAAACAACGGAAAATTGTGAAAAATATTTTCCTGAAAATTATTTTACGGAAATAAATAGAACCTAATTCTTACTTATTATTCAAATATAATAATTGTTCATGTAGTATTATTTAATATGAACATAATAAAAAAATTATATATTAATAAATTATTTTTTAATTATAATAATTACTATTTTTTTACCCTATGTGAAAATAAAAAGTGGATTATCTTTTTAAGGTAGAGAGTGTATTACTTATTTATTTATTTTCCAACTCTTCCATTTTAGCATATTTAGCAAGGAATGATTATGGAAAAAAAAATTCTTTATTTTAGCATTCTTTTGACACCTACAACTATAATAGACGCGTTTTTCAAATTCTAATTTCTAACCAAAAAATCAACCAAAGAACATTCCGTTTAAAACCTTCTTTACTCGGTTCAAGATCCTCACTTTCCCAGATGTTTCCAATCTCACTTTCCCGGAAAATATTTTTCGTTTAATTATAACCAAAGAAAGAAACTGTCCACTTGTCACCAATTTGACTCCCCTCTCCTCTTCCCTTCTTCTGTTGAATCTGGCAACCCATTTGACCATTCTTCACCTGCCGCTTTCTATCTAGCAGCCTGCCATCCATTATAAAGCAAAAGAAACAAAGAAAACAAAAGGAAATAAAAACTATCAGGGAAAGTAAAGGAACGGGAAAATGAATGATTTGTTTTCTGGATCTTTTTCTCGCTTCCGTAGCGAAGATGCGTCGCCGGACCACCACGTTATCCAGATGTCCGAAACACCGTCCGCCGGTGGTGTCAATCTCAATAAGTTCTTTGAAGATGTTGAGTCTGTTAAAGACGAGTTAAAAGAATTAGAGCGACTCAACCAGTCTCTGCAATCTGCTCATGAACAGAGCAAGACTATACACAATGCTAAAGCCGTCAAGGATTTGCGGTCGCGAATGGATGCTGATGTGGCACAGGCGTTGAAGAAGGCTAAGTTCATCAAGGTTAGGTTAGAGGCGCTGGACCGTTCCAACGCTGCTAATCGGAGTCTGCCTGGCTGTGGACCGGGGTCTTCATCGGATCGGACTAGAACTTCTGTGGTCAACGGGTTGAGAAAGAAATTGAAGGATTCGATGGAGAGTTTCAATAGTTTGAGGGAGAAGATATCGTCGGAGTATAGAGAGACTGTACAGAGAAGGTATTTTACGGTGAACGGTGAAAATCCCGATGAAAGAACACTAGATCGCTTGATCTCTACAGGTCTGTAGTTGACTTTTGATTCCGAATTTGACTTCCATTTTGTTTAATTAGAGACTTACAGCTCTATTAGGAGAAAGAAATTGTGGAAGAATTCACTTTTTTTATTTCTTTTTATAAAATTGAATTGAAATTTTTTGAAACGAAGTATAATTAAATAATAAATATATATCATTTTATTTTCATAATATAAATGATTCGAGTATTTATGCAATTTGATTAAATTAAACTTTGGAAAATTAAATTTATAATAGTCTAATTTTTAGTTGCTTCAAAATTAAACTTGAATTGCCAATCAATCACGGTTTAGTTGGTCTACTCAATTTCTATAAGCATTAGGACTTGATGAGAATATGTTTTCACCGATTTAGTCGTCTAGAATACCCTGCTGTGTAGCCGAAATGTTATCCAAATGACTCAATTCTATAAGGAGACGGATTCGATGATTAATATTTTCACCAATTTAGTTGTCTAGACGAGAGCTGCCCCTGCTGTAGCCAAAGAAATGTTACCCAAATGATGGAATTTGATGGATACTTTATATAGATTGATTGAAAATATGAAATTATTTGGATTGCAGGTGAGAGTGAGACATTTCTCCAGAAAGCAATTCAAGAACAAGGGAGAGGAAGGGTTTTGGATACAATTAATGAGATACAAGAGAGGCATGATGCAGTCAAGGAAATGGAGAAGAATCTCAAGGAGTTACACCAAGTGTTTTTAGACATGTCAGTATTGGTGGAAGCTCAAGGTGAGCAATTAGATGATATTGAAAGCAATATGCAGAGAGCTAATTCCTATGTCCGCACCGGAGCCCAGCAGTTGAATACGGCCAGAGTTTTACAGAAGAACACCCGGAAATGGACTTGCTATGCTATCATTATTTTGCTGGTTATAATCTTGTTTGTGGTATTGTTCACTGTCAGACCATGGGAGAACAATGGGGGAGGGGGTGGAGGAGGTGGCGGCAATGCACCAGCTACTCCTCAGATTCAACCTCCTCCTCCTCCACCGCCGCCGCAGGCTTAGGTTTTCATATGTTTATAGATTTATATATGGTGATTATATGCATATATGTTATTTTTTTTGGAATACTTGTTAGTTTGAAACTTGAGATTGATTGATTTTTTTGTCTGAATATTTCTTGATTGATTTTTCTTTTCTTTCTCTAGAAATAAATGGATCCTTTTTCTTTTTTTTTTTTTTTTTTTTTTTTTTTTTTTTTTTTTTATAGATCTATATATGGTGATTATAGTTCAATAATATGACTAGTTTTATATATATTTTTGGGAAAAAAAGGCTTGTTAGTTTGGAAAACTTGGAAGATTGGAGGTGTGAATCTTTATTGTGGTCTGAATATTTTCTTGATTTTGATTTTTCTTTCACTTCTCCTTACCTAGAAATAGGAGGCGATGGATGATGGCATTACTGTCGGCACGTTGTGATTTTTCCATGTTTTTTTTTTTTCTTTAATGTTTTTTTTTTTATCTCTTTTTTTTTTTAATGAGTAATGGTCCACTTTTGTTTTTAAGATTAAATTTTTAAAATTCGAGAGTACAATAAATAATTTGGGCAAGTATTTTGTTATACCAACTGTAGCTTTTAGTAAAACCCTTAACTATAATATTGTCTTCGTGTGTGTTAGTGTATTGGATTTACATTGTTCGTGTTTTACCAGTATATTACAATTATAACTTGGTTTTTTTTTTTTTTTTTTTTTTTTTTTTTTTTTTTTTTTTTAATGAGAATGTCCATTGTTTAGATTTTTTAAATTCGGAGTACATAAATAATTGGCAAGTATTTGTTATACCCTTAACTATATTGTCTTCGTGTGGTTAGGTTTGATTTTACATTGTTCGTGTTTTACCAGTATATACATTTACTGTTTTTTACGAGTTTTATTTCAAACTAGAGACCTTTTATAAAATATAAATTTTAAACTTAAACCTTTAACTAAGGAGAAAGAATTTCAATTCTTTAATTTGGACTGGCATCGGTAAAACTACAATAATTTAAAAATAATTTATGTATCTGGTAGTCATGGACGCTCTACAAATCTGAAACAAGGACCCAAATTATTGTTCGGTTCCATCTTGTTGGCAGGTTAGACGGCTATTTTTCTATGTAAAAAATGTCCATACGTGCATGTAATCACTTTGAGAATACGCAATGTGACCTTTTCATTCACATGAATCAGAATTCTAGTTCAAAGATGGTGACTTCCAATGACTACAATTGGCATTAATTAAGGATTAAGGAATTGGAATATGATTTAGGAAGCTCGTGTTCACAGAAAACAAACACGTAATTGCCCAATGTTCACGTTAAATTTTTATTTTTTATTTTTTTTAAAAAAAGAACAAAATGCTTAATTTGGTCAACTGAATTTGTGACATTTCCTTTTTTTTTTTTTTTCTTGGCAGTTATAGGTTTTCATATCAAGCACATTGACTATTTCAAGGGAAAGCCCTTGTGAATATACAAGCAACACGTGCGAGGGGTGAAATAACTGTTGAGAATTAAAATTTTTTGTATCCATACAGAAGTGTTTATTCATCGTTAGATTAACACAAATAAATATAAACCGTGGATTTAAAAAATTAAAACGATCTTTTACCTTTAAAACAATTTGTATTTATTTTTTTGGAAATAAAAATTAACTTACATTTATTTAGTATTATTATTTTTTAATTCAAAAAGACATTTACTCTATCAATTATTTTTAATAAAATAAAAAGAATAAAATTATAAAAACAAATTAAAAGTTTCAATACCCATATACAAATTTTTTTTACCATGTATTAGATTTAAATTATTTAAATATTAATTTTTACATCTAAAATTTCATTTAAACCTTTTAAACAGTAAAAATAATTCAAATTTCAAGATCTTAATTCATACTTTAAAATAATTTATTAAAATTTAACAACAATTAATTTTACTTTCTTTTATTTTTTATAATGCCAAATTTACTTTGGATTCATGAAAAGTTGCATAATTCTAAAATTTCAATTAACTTATATATATATATATATATACCATAACTCGCTTCTATTATTTTTAATTCAATTGAACCTGTTTAGAGTCTATCCCTACTCAATAAATTAAGCAACAAACAGAACAGAAGTTGGGATTTGGGAGAAGTATTATTGATTGGGAAGCGGAAAGGCGGGAAATTTTGGGCTTTTCAACAAACCGTCCAAAGCCCATTTTCTTGTTTGGGTTAACCCATTGAATTTATCATTTATGGGCATAACTTATTAACTTGACGACACGTTGATATTACATATAGGCTCAATGAGAAAAAAAAAAAAAAAAAAAAAAAAAAAACCCACATTGACTTTATCATTTATGGCATAACTTATTACTTGACGACCACGTTTGAATATTACATTTATAGGCTCAATGAGAAAAAAAAATATAAACAAAAAAAAAAAAAAAAAAACCTCTAGATAACCTTCAGACACAACTTCTATATGTCAATTCATCACCCTTTAGGAACGTAACCTGCATCTAAGCGGTTAAGTCCCAACATGGATGGTCAATGAAGTTGTTAGAGACCCTAAATATGTATATCAAATATTGTTTCAAATATTGTTAAGCGGTAACTACGGTTTTGAGGTGAATCAGTTGACAATACAGACTGTGTATAATGAAAGAGTTTTCGGATTTTAATCCTCTGCTAAATATCCTGTAAAAGAGGAGCGAAGAAGTTTAACCTGTGATTAACTCTAACCATATTATGGTCCTTGATAATGAGAGGTTTTCCAACCAGTGATTTAACAAAATAAATATATAATTATATGGACTTAACTAAATAAAAAGCACAAAAAAAATGGGAATTTTGATTATCTCAAGAAACGTATAAGAACAACAATAAAAATCCATTGAGAAAAAAAACATTAACTTGGAGGTGAAAAAGAGCAACGAAATTTTGGGCTAATGAGTAATTAACAGAAACTATAACCATATCCAAAGCTCCAGATTACTGGGATATTTGGGTGTAAAGTTTCAAAACTTTAATACTGATTAAAGGTTTTTTGGCCTAATAGCAATTGTTACAAATTATTTGGACATTCTGTTGTTCGAGACAAAAAGAATCAATTCTAGAAAATACAAGCAATCAACCTCCCCGTTTCAATCTTTCTGGTCACAATGGGTCAATACGAAATGATTAGAGGGTGGCAAAGTTCGTTAACTTATGAAACTCCAAAAATCAGTCTTTTTACCTCTCTATCTCTCTCTCTGTCTGTACGCAAGCTAATCTAAAAAGTGGTATATAGCTAATGGCTTCAATTTTTCTCTGTGTTTTTGTATTCTTTGCTTCAAAGCAGATATAGCGGCTAAACATTCACAGGTCCTGTTAGACATTTTTTTCGGACACTTAATTGTAGAATTGAGCATCCTCTTCTAAATCTAATCTGTTTCACATCTGTAATACGAATCGCCTCAATATTATATGAAAATGAGAATTTTTCTTATTTTATATGCAGGAAATGGACAATTGTTCAACCTAAGGAATCTGAGAGACGGTAAAGCCATATCGTCGCTAGTTCTAGGAATGAGGATGCCATTCCCTACACTGATGGTCACTATGCTCACTGAGATCCTTTAGTCGAAGCGCCTCTATCAATGGAGGAGATGCTTGATGTGGAGAAAAGTTTAAGAATACACTCAAGTTTATCTCACATTTTTTCTTATACCTTCAAAGCGCTCTCTAAAAATATGGTATTGGAGTTTATGTTGTAATTTTGGTAGTTCTTTATCAGTATGATTATTAGAAGATGAGGCTTTTTTCTTCTAAAACTTGACACCTTATAAGTAATTCTTAAACCTAATTTTGCCACGGGGAGAGTATGCTTTTCGCTACACTAAGTACAAGAGCTCAAAATAATTCTAAAATAGGTTGGTGCAGATGAGATTGTTGTTTGTAACTCTTTCACAATGCTAATACCAGAGTTATGTCTTTATCTGATTTTTAGTTATTCTAAAAAATTTTATAAACTCAGTCTTGGAGATTAAATATTGAGTTTATCTTGAACTTCCTATTTTTCTAATCAGAGTATGAATGTTTCATAGATGTGTCTTGTTAAGACAAATAGGTACCCACCATTTAAAAGATAAAGTGCAGATAAGGTAGCAAATATCTTTAGAAACGCATACCCTGGACTAGGCCAAACAGTAAAACATGGTGGAGATATTCTCACTTATTTGGAGAGAGTACAAAAGAAGGCTCTTTGAGATTGCAAGAGAGCATGATTGGTTTTGTCACTTATTTTAGTTTTATTGTGTTTATCTGACAATACAATTTCTCTCCCTCAAACATAGTATAATTATTCTTTGATTATGAGTTTTTTTTGATTTGATATAATTAATAATTAAAAGATATAAATGATTAGACACACTCACACTACCACACACAAGACGTTCTATGTAATTTATCAAACATTAACGCTTGTTTGCTCTAGCATGTGTAATGATGACTTCTTTTGCAACCCAAGAAACGCGGTCAGCGGACTAATTGATCCAACCCTACAAGGTGCAAGGTGGATCTTTGGTTCCTCTAAAGTTTGTCAGCTTTTGAAATAAATTTTGTTTGGTGTGTTGTGGAATATACCCACAATTTGTGGTTTGATCTGGGGATGTTTTTGAATGTAATATTCTAATATGATTCAGGAAGTCTGAAGGTATACGTTGGATGAGGGTCCTAGAGCCCAGCAGATTTATGCAGGCTCTTTTGTCCATTGGCACAAGAGGGAGTTCAGAAAGGGAACGCGCTAATGCTCTCATAATTCTGGTCCGTGTGGTCAGTACTCAGTTGACAAATACTCATTAGAAAATTACATATAATATATTACTCTGTTGATAACTCTCATGCAATGTTGCCTCTATAATTATAAAAAAAGACTTATTTTGTTTTAGCTGATTTTGAAAAATTTGAATAAAAAAAAAAAAAAAAAAAAAAAAAAACCTCTTGATACTTCAGCAACTTCTATAAATTCATCACCCTTTAGGAACGCTGCACTACGCCACATGTCAATGAAGTTTTGAGACCTAATATGTATATCAAATATTGTTTCAAATATTGTTAACGGTAACTACGGTTTATTGATCAGTTGACAATACAGACTGTGTATATGAAAAGAGTTTTCGGATTTTATCTCTGCTAAATACATCTGTAAAGAGGAGCGAAGAGTTTAACTGTGATTAAACTCTAAACCATATTAAGTGGTCCTTGATAATAGAGTTCCAACCAGTGATTTACAAAATAAATATATAATTAATGGACTTAACTAATAAAAGCACATAAAAATGGAATTTTGATTATCTCAAAGAAACGTATAAGAAACAAACAAATAAAAATCATTGAGAAAAAAAACATTAACTTGGAGGTGAAAAGGCACGAAATTTTGGGCTAATGAGTAATAACAGAACTAACCATCCAAAGCCCAGATTCTGATTTGGGTGTAAAGTTTCAAACTTTATACTATTAGGTTTTTGGGCCTAATAGCAATTGTTACAATTATTTGGACATTCTGTTGTTCGAAAAAGAATCAATTCTAGAAATACAAGCAATCAACCTCCCGTTTATCTTTCTGGCTCAGCAATGGGGTCAATACGAATGATAGGCAAGTTCGTTACTTGAACTCCAAAAATCAGTCTTTTACTCTCTCTCTCTCTCTCTGTCTTCGAAGCTAATCTAAAAAGTTATATAGCTAATGGCTTCATTTTCTCTGTGTTTTGTCTTTGCTCAAAGCAGATATAGCGGCTAACTTCACAGGTCTGTTAGACATTTTTTCGGACACTTAATTTAGAATTGAGCATCTCTTCTAAATCTAATCTGTTTCACTCTGTATGCTCAAATTAAGAAATGTATTTTCTTTTTTGCAGATGGAATGTTCAAAGGAATCTATAACGGCAAGCAATGCCATTTAGCTGATATAGCCACTGTCCTTAGTCGAGCATGGAGTGCTGGTGTTGATAGAATAATTGTAATTCTTTTTCATACCCTTTTGCAAATCTTTGAGTTTTTTAATTTTAGTTCACTGTATAAGAGATATGCTTTCTCAAATTGAAGCTATTTTTCTACTAATTAGCCTGGGGAGGTTGCTTTCCTACATATCAAATATCTAATAGGTTTCAGTAGATTGTAGTGCAATTTAATGCTATATATTGTTAATCTGATTTCTTAGTTTTCTAAATTTTAAATAGTTGGAAAATATTGAGTTTATCTTGAACCCTATTTCACAATGAATGTTTCATAATTTTTGTTAAAATCATGTAGTGTTCTTAGAACCATACCCGGACTTGTCATAACAGGTAACTGGTGGATCTCTTGAGGAGTCAAAGAAGGCTCTTGAGATTGCAGAGACTGATGGTTTGTCTGTTGTTATTTGTTATCTGCATCATTCTCTCGTTCTTTTGAGTTTTGATTGTATATATATAGATATATAGACACACACACACACACACAAGCTCATTCATTTCAACTTTACTTGTTTGCTACAGGAAGGCTCTTTTGCACGGTCGGGGTCCACCCTACAAGGTGCAAGGTGGATCTTTGTTCCTCTAAAGTTTGTCACTTTTGATAATTTTTGGTGTGTTGTGGATATACACACATTTGTGGTTTGATTGGGGATGTTTTTGAATGTAATATTTCTATATGATTCAGGAGTTTGAAGAAAGTGGAGATCCTGAGCAGCATTTTCAGGCTCTTTTGTCATTGGCACAAGAGGGAGTTCAGAAAGGGAAGGTATGCTTCATTGGTCTTCAGATGATGTTAAACCATGATAATTATTATTCTGTGAAACATGCATGTGCCTTATATCTTTAAAAAGTTTGTGCATTTGAAATTGAATGGATAGTTGTTAGTAGTTTTCTGCCATACTACCATTATTGATTTGATTGCTATGTTTATCTTTTGTACAAGAATATGATACTCATTCTACATAATATTCATGTGCTACATTGCGCATAAAATTCATGTGTTAAATTGCACATAAAATTCATATACTACAATGTTTATGCTCTATGGAGTCAAAGGCCCCGTTTGACAACGTTTCATAACTTTTAGTCAAAACACTAACTCTATTATTTATAGTGTTCGGTAGGGTACGCGTTTATACTAGTGTTTCGAGTGAAGGACGAATTATGGAATGTTACTCCCTTTAACATTTGATGAAACATTAGTTAAAGAGCTAACAGTTACTAGGACAGTTGACAACTACTAAGACATCTATTTTTGTCGAACAAACCCAAGTTCTAGTAAAGTATCTTGGATCTTAAATCTACATATTTTTTCATTGACATCTTCCACACTTCAATACATGTTTAACCATGACATTCATGCAAACATTATGTGTTTAACTGTTTACTACATTTTTCTTATGCTTCAAAAATTCTTAAAGAGTTTTCATGTTACTTTATATTATCATTTATGATGTGCTTTACATTTGGATGTTCAACATAAGGTCGTGGCAGTTGGTGAGTGTGGACTGGATTATGACAGGCTTCACTTTTGCCCACCAGAGATTCAAAAAAAGTAAGTCATTGGCTCACTGCTGATGTAAATGCTTCTTGGCAGCTCAATCTGTTTGTCATTTCATTGGTTGTTTTCGTCAATTGAACTGATTTTCCGCTCGATTGTTGTCATGTGGAAACTATAGATATTTTGAGAAGCAGTTTGAATTAGCACATGTCACAAAGCTGCCTATGTTTCTACACATGCGTGCAGCAGCTGAAGATTTCTGTGAAATTGTGGAGCGCAACAAGGAAAAGTGAGTTTCTTAATTTCTGCTAAATCGGGCTACACAGTCATTTTACTTTGTTATCAATGTCTTTTTGCTGGCATGTAGTTTTGTGTACATGATTTATGTAGTTTTGTGTCATTGTTATCATCTCTGTTGAAAAGAAGGCTCATTTATTTGTAGATTTATGGTTCTTGGATGTATTTCCAATTTAGGGAAAACCATACATGTAAAACTTTAGATGTAATGGTCCCTCCCTCAGTTCTTTTCTCATGCTAGACAAATTTTGTGTCAAACTTCAAAATTACATTTCTCCCATGAATAATAGTGTGTATTGGATGACACATACAGGTTAATAAATGTGGATGTAATTTTCTCTTCTAATTTTACAGATTCAGTGCTGGGGTCACTCATTCATTTACTGGCAGTGCAGAAGATTGCGATAAACTTCTCTCATTCAACAATATGTATATAGGTTGAAAAGAACCACCATTTTATAGTTCAAGTTATCTCTGTTATCTGGATAAATGTAAAGTTCTTCACTGAGGTTATACCAAACAGGTGTAAATGGTTGCTCATTGAAGACAACTGAGAACCTTGATGTCGTCAAGGGTATTCCTGTTGAGAGAATGATGATTGAGACAGATTCTCCCTATTGTGAAATCAAGAACACTCATGCAGGGATTACTTATGTAAATTCTTTGTGGCCATCAAAGAAGAAAGAGAAGTATGATCAGAACTGCATTGTCAAAGGCAGGAATGAACCTTGTTTAGTTCGGTAAGGAAATTTTTGTCCAGTGGCATATTACTGGCCTTTTGTTTCTGGACTTTATCTTATTCTCGAAAATGATTATCTTGTTATATTAATTTTGCAATAGAAATCATGCCTGTCGGAGAACGTCTTTGAATGGAGAGTGACAATATAGCATTGAAAGGTTCTATAACAATCAAAGTTGCATTAACATGAAATGTATGAAAAATTTTAATACTTGTATTTGCATAATATGAGCCTATTTGGTTCAGCTATTGCTTTTGGTTGTTAGTGGTTAGATTTTGATGGTTATCAATTGAAGTACCAAATGCTAATACAACAGTAATAACTAAGCCTTAGTCCCAAACTAGTGGGTCAGCTATATGAATCCTTATTTCCAATATCCACTCTGATCAATATCAATATAAAGCAAAGTTTAGTCAGAAAAACTTTGAAGACTTTTTGTAATGAAAGATTTTAGAAAGAAAGTTTTAAAATCATTTGGTATATTAACAAATAGAACAAAGCACCAAATGCTAATAGCTAGAAAATATTATCTTTTAGCATTTGAGTTATAATTTAGAACAGCCAATTGTTGGATTTTGAAACACTGCTCCAACTGCTATAACTTGCTGAATACCCTTAACTAGTGGTTGGAAGCCAAATGCAAAATGCTGGTTACCAAACACCCATCCAAACTTGCTTTTGCTTTTGATATAAGCTTGTTGTTTAGTAAAGATTGGCCTTTGATTAGTATATGTTTCCAAGTCCATGCATGTTATTTTTTCCTGTGATAGCCATGCCTTTCAGAAACCATAAATCTGTTGATAATACATTCATCTGATCCATCAAACTTAGAAATTGGAACATGCTTCTATAATTTGGGGAGTGTTTATCATGGTTTTCATGTGTACGTTTGTTTTGGTAGTGGCAGTAAATTTACCTGTCATTTATGCATTTGTTTACGTGTTAGTTTCTCGTCTTTTTATTGAAAAAATATGGCTTTTTTTTCCAGGCAAGTTCTTGAGGTTGTGGCTGGCTGTAAAGGTATCAATGACATGAATCAAATGTGCAGGACCATTTACCATAATACCTGTGGGTAAGCATTTAATGGAGTTCCCACCACAATTCATCTAACCAAACAGAACTCAAAAGTAATGAACCTTCTCAAAATTGAATATTTTCCATTTTCATTATCTTGGCTGTTTAGCTTTACTTGTCCTGGAATATTGAATAAAAATCATTTTCCATGTAGCTCTGCCAATTAAAGCCTCTATGCCTGGCGCATATGCTTACTTCTCGAGTCATTTATATTTTAGTTTCTTTTTTTTCCTATGCATTGCAGGGTTTTCTTTCCTCATGACTTGGATTCTGCAGCAGACGCTCTTCTTGCTGATCACCATGATTCTCAGTGAAATTCTGATGATTTTGCTACTATGAGAATTTTCTTAAGCGAGTGCGAGATCCTCGGATTCTTTTTATGATTTGTGGAGTATGAATGATGCTTTCTCAAATGGCATTGTAATGAAAATACATATAATCTTATAATCGTGATAATGCCCTGACTTCAGGCTCTAAGGTTTTCATGGATTTTATATTTTTGGGGGCATCTCACCTGATAATTGAGTGCCATAATTTTCACTGGTAGAACTTTGTATACAGATTGAACTTTGTATTCAATGATAAATTTGAAATTTTCCCATTGACCCCCTGAGAAGTTGAACCCTGGATGGAAACTAATAACGGTAACTGTTTAAAATCAATAATTCTTCGCTTAGACCAGAAATTTGGCCTGATGGAAGACCAAAAGCATAATTAACTGATCGAGAATATTGTTAGGTTAAATTAAAGGTTTGAACAACCAGCATCTTGCAGCCCTAACTTCGTATAAATAATTTCCATCAATGAAATATTCAACATTTTCCAATAGATAGTACAATAAATGCAGATAGAGAAAATAAGATTGGAACTTCATTTACTAAATTGTTCGAGAAAAAGAATTCTCTGCACATTAAGAATACTCAGGGCTCGCATATTTCTTAAAATCTTTTACAATCTGGAGTCACATCACTCCAAAAATGCACAACAAAGGATTGGATTTTAATTAACTTTGCTGCTTTCTGACAACAAAGAAGCATCAGGAGTTGAGAACTCATCCGCGCGGCTGTAGATAGCTAAGTTTTCTCATAAAGGTCTATCGATCCTCAATTTCGTAGCATATTCAAGCACCCATTGTGTTTTCCTTCAAGAGCCAATACTAGAAACCAATTCACTGCTCTCTAGATTATCTTCTGAATTTGTTTCCATAGATGGAGGAGAACGTGCTCTTTCTGCAGCCAAATTCAATCTCAAGGGCCGCCCTTCCACCTCCTAGTTTTGTCATCACACAGACAATTCAAAAACTGGGAGAAAAAGAAAACAGGTTCAAATATGCAAAATCACTAGCTAATTCAGTCTTACCACTCCATTCATGGCATTTAGAGCAGCTTCCGCATTCTCAGCAGACTCAAATGAGATAAACCCAAAACCTCGAGATCTTCCTGTGTCCCGTTCATAGATGACTTTGGCACTTAAAAAGCCAGGTTGGCTTGCAAAAGCATCTCTAAGACCTTGAGATGTGAGGCCCCAACCTAGGTTCCCAGCATAGATCTTGTGCGGACTGTCTATAAAGCCCTTGTAGGTGCTCCTTATCCTTGGCCCCATTACTTCCCTCTCACCACCCTTTGGCACTTCCGGGATGTTCACCTTAACAGTTCGACCTCCAATTTGCTGTTTACCACAAAACCACTAAAAGTTATCATTTTCTTCTTGGCATATGGTACTCAATTAACAGCACTCAACATGGTAACTTGTAAGCCCACGCACTTGCATGCACATGAATAGATGCAGTGCAGGATTTGGACCTACAGCGAAGGATCTGGGAGTTGATTTATGCTCAGCTACCCCATCCTCCAGGATAGCACTTCGCACAAAGTAACTTTAAGTCAATAAAGGGCAAGCTGGACATTTGTTTTACTCGGAAATGGAATGAGAATGAGAACAGATGTTTCATTTCAGAAAATTCTATTCCAAGTAATTTCTTCAATAACTAAATAGAATTTATTTATTATATTAAGGTTCATTCTTAAAAATTGATCATTTTCAAGGTAAATTCAAGATATTCCTACAAAACATCAAAAACATTTTGAATAGGAACATTATTCCAAGAATTTATCCTCAATTCCAATTCAAACCAAATGGAACCGAAATGCATACAAAGCACAAACATATCCAATTACAGTTCAAATATTTTCTCGCCAAATTCAAGTAGTGGACAAAAATATAATGACAATATATGCATATAAGCAATCTTACTATTAGTGTGATCTTCCAAGACATTGGTTGTTACTATTAGCTACTCTTAGCTGATAATGGTTGTTGATAGCATTAAAATTCAAAATGATAAGTAAAAATATAATTATTTTGATATACTATCAATGTATAATATATATTCTTTTAATTTCTAAAGTGAACATATTATTGTGTTACATAAAAAAAAAATATTAAATAAATTTTTTATAATCGTATTTAATACATATTTATTATTTTTAAATAATTATAAATAAAATCACATAAAAATATTAATTTAAAAAAAGGTTGTATTAGTAATTATTTTTATAAGATTAATGAAACACAAATGCAATACAATACAAACAGCAAGTAGCTAATAGAAAAAGGCTCCAAAAAGCTAATTGAAACTTCTGCTAATTAAAATTCTAGTTGTTCGGTACAAATCAACTACTCGCTACATGAATTAACTGAACCAAACATCTTCAAGAAATATATATCTTGGAATTCAATTTGAGAGAAATAAATATATGAATAATTTTCCACTTAACCAAATTGATGTAGTGGTAGAGATTAGGCAATTAGTTTTCAACAATTATAGCTAGAATAATATGATTGCAGTTGGAACAATATAAAATTAGTTTTAAATAAAACTCAGGGGGCATTTAGTTATAAAATTCAACTTTCCTACGAATAGGAAAATCGATTCCTAGAAAAGTAATTTAGGAATGTCAATTTATCATGTTTGAGTAATAATAAAAATTTTCCAGAAAAGTAAAGTACTTTTAAATTAGGTTATTTCTTATAGAAATTCAACTTTCCCATCTTTTGAGATGGAAACACATGGGAAAGTAGGAATTAGGCTACCTATTCAGTAATTAGGATTGTAGCACTTCTATACCAACCAACTGAACGCCTCCTAAAATTAAAATTCAATACATAAACTGTGATAGTTGCCCTATTTATACTAGTTAGGAGAAATCTTAATTTTATATTGAAAAGTATTCTTAATTAGTTAATATTCTATTAAAGAAGAATCGTGAATAAAGAAGGAAAACTAACCTACTATATAGGAATCTTCAATGTTATCAAAATCTTATAATTCGCAATTCAAATCATATGCTTCAATTCAACTCAATTTTCATGCTGGACGATTTGAATCTTATAATATCAAAATTTTTATGCAATTTGATTGTGCAATAATTCTCATACCCAACAAAACAAGTGGTAAAGTCAATGTAGAAGAAGAGCAAGAGTACATAGTTATATCAAAAGAAGAGGATGATGAAGGGCTTGAATTTGGAAATGATAACAAATGAATACGAATTTGGATACAAAATTTAATGGCTTGATGGATTACTATGTTTTTTTTTTTTTTTTTTTTTTTAATTCTTAACAATAATAGTTTTATATTTTGAACTTGGGCAACTACACGACTCTTTTTTTTTTTTTTTTTTTTTAAATCTTAACATAATAGTTTGATATTTTGAACTTGGCAACTACACGACTCATTAGGTTCTCATTTTGTGTTTAGCACATGACTTTGAATTGAAATTTATGTAAATACAGTGTTCGCAATTAGACTTTTAGTATCTTTTATAAAACTAATGGGAAAAATATGCATAAATGTATGAGTATTATTTTTAATTAATTTGAAAAGTTATACTGAATATTAGATCTATTGGATTGTATTGATTCTAAAAATAAGCATTTTGATTCTCCATTTGATTCTATTTTCGATTCTAAAATAAGAATTTTGATCCTCCTACTTAAAAACTACGGAAATCTTAACTAGAGCAGGAAAACTGACATTCTGATTTAATTTGGATGCTCCTGCATCACAAATGCTGAAACCATAATAAATAACAAAGAACTTACAGATCCATTAAACATCCGAATTGCTTCTTTAGCATCCTCAACACTTGCCATTGTAACAAACCCAAACCCTCTGCTCCTGTCAGTGACACGATCATAGATAATCTACAACACAAAACCCATCCAAAAAAAAAAAAATTAAAGCAATAATAATAAAAGAAAACCCTAAAAGGAATCAATCTCTAAAATTGAACACAAAAAACTCAAACCTGAACATTGACCACTTGACCAGCCTCTTGAAAAACCTCAGTTAATTGTGAAGAAGTCATTGAATAAGGCAAATTTCCTACAAACAGCCTCCCTTCTTCGTTCGATTCTGAGGGTTTCAGTTCTTCTTCTTCTCCTTCTCCTTCTTCTTCTTGTTCTTCTTCTTTGAGTTCTTGCTCATATTCTTCAGTTTCAGATTGACGGTCATCTTGGGATACTTCAGTGCTGTCAAATGCAGAGAAAGATGGGCAAAATCGGGAAGAAGAGGAGAGAGAGAGTGGATTGCGAAATTGGATATATAGTTTGAGGAGTTTTAGGGGTTTAAAGGGTTTTGTTAATTGACGGGTAGGGAGTGGAAGTAGAGTGGTGATGGAGTGTTTGGTGTGTAGCAGAGAAGAAGGAGAGGAAACAGTTGATGCAGCCATGAAGAGAGCTGACACTCTGCAGGAAGAAGATCTTTTTTACCAATAAAAAGGGATAATACTATTGAGAATTATCCAAATATACCAAAGGCAAAATCGAGGGAGGATGAAGATATTTTGGGCTTGGGGAAAATAAGAAAAAGGAGAAATCTTGAAATAAGAATATTGGTGGATAAGGCTGGATTCGTAGTTTTTGTTAATGCGGCTTCCTGCCAATGTGGGTTTGGGTGGAAGTTTCGTTGGGTTGTGAAACGTGGCCCACACTGTGGTTTGGATTGGCTTTCAAGACGAAATAAATGTTTTTTCTAGGGGTTGGTGGTCAGACTGCGTTTAGGGTTAAAGTGCCTTCAATCATTAGCGAGCTATTTTGATTTTTTTTTCCTTTTTATTTTTTTTAAAAAAAAAAAAACTCATCCGAACTTATTCAATAAATTTAAAGAGCTAAATTCAAAACTGTTTATCCAACTTGTTTAATAAACAATTCGAATGCCAATTTTGAAATAAGACTCATAAATTAATTCACAATTTATTTAATAACAGTAACTAAATCTATAAAAAATCTCAAATTTGAATTGAAGATGGTAAACTAATTATTTTTTTAGATAATATATTCTAAGCGAATTGAGCTCAAATTTGAGTTTGATTCGTTTAAAATATAGATAAGCCGAATGAGGTTTGCATTTAGCTCTTTCTAAATGAGTTGAGTTTGAACTCGATTTTTCAATAAAATTTAATTTGATTTATTTACAATCCTAAATTCTTAAGACGGTAAAAAGTTAGTTGTAATCCATTTAATTAAAATTACATCATAATTTATACAATTTAAAAAAATTGAGTTTGAGTACGGTGATTGGATAAAATGATAAAATATAATACATTGTTTTTTTTTTTTTGACTAAATGGGTATAATTACAATTAATTTTCAAAGTTCAAGGTAAATAATTTATTTTGAAAGATTTGTATACAATTATAAATTTATAAAACGGTTTGGCCTTTTTTTTTTTTTTTTTCAATTACTATACCTTCTCAAATAAAAGAAATTAAATATTGAAAAAGTACATCTCCCTAGTAAGGGAGCATATTCACCATGAAAAAAAATGTGTTTCCTGAAAATTGAATTTCGATTCTCATTCTTACGGGAGTTAAGATCATTTACCACCCCAACCAACACTTTATTAGCCGTGCATTTCAATTCTCGTGAAGTTGTGATATTGATAGATTGAATATTTCAGTTTTGAGATGTAATCACGCAATTCTTTAAAAATTTTCTTTATGGAGTAACTATAGAGGAATGAAATCATTTGCACCTCGAAGCCATTTTAGATACGGCAAGACAGCTCAGGCAGAGTAGAAAGTTCCCACAACCTAGGAGGTTTCATACTAATTAAATTTTCATTTTCAAGTTGTCAAAGATCCAAGTTGCCAAAAAATAAAATTACACAAGAGAGAAAACATGATGATTACAGACATGGTTATAACACAAATAAAAGTAGCAGCATACATTATTTGAAGAAGTCATAATGACAGAAAGCAAATGTTGAACTTCAAGAACACAAAGCTACAGCATAATTAACATCACAAACACACAATCACACTTTCACATTACCATTACACAATGGGAATGAACCCATTTATTTAATATTTTTTTTAGCTTTTTTTTTTTTAATAGCATTAAGTTTTTCACCTCCAATCCTCCATGAATTTAGCATTGCATGGAATGACTGTGTGACCCTAATGCAAATGAGCCAAGAATGATTTGCCCGCAACCAAATAGTGGAGTCGATCCCCAAACTAAATTTGGTTGCATTAACGGGTGGGATATAGTGGTTACTGCCTAGTACAAGAACTAAGCTCCATTATCCCACACCTCCATTGCTAAATTTTCAGGTTGCAGCAGCTCCAATATCCCACTTATTGGGCATAACGACATTATGCCCAGTATCCATTATGACTGAGAAGGAATGAAGTGGTGGCGCAAGATGGTTGATTGAGAAGTGATCAAAATTTCTCCTAGAATACATGCTTGTCACTTCAGCCCCAGAAAGATTTGATCCACCATGATCCTTTGAACTATCAGACTGCAACACTTCAGAACTCTGAGAACCGGCTGGCTGAGATAGTTGAACACCACCAGCATTCTTTGCCTCAATTTCAACCGTTCCATTGGAATTCTTTGTGTTCAAGAAACGGCCACCATTTCCCCTTGGCCGGCGCATTGCATGGAGATGACGTGAAAGATGCATAAAAGGCTATAGGACACACAAAAAAGGACCTCCATTAGAAATGGACCAAAACATTTAACCTAGATCTGGAGTTTTCTGTTTTGCAAGTACTATATCTGGTTGCCAAATTAATAGATCATACCTTACGTTTTCTTGTTGATTTATTCTCTAGTACAGCCTTTGCACGGGTCCTTCGGCGCCTGATGATTCCATGGTACTGCTTAGGATTGACAAATATTGGCCCGTCATCTGTTGTCATGTTCATTGGCAGCATAATTCGCCCCTATATCACAATTAATAGATACATGAATGAATAAATGTTGCAGAACATACATTTTCAAGGAGTTGGAGACTTAGGCTTTATTTGGAAAAGAGAGGAAAGAAAATAATGCATGAAGGAAAATAATGAAATCCATTTCACTTTAAATAATGCAATTTTCTCAATTCATTGATCATTTTTTTTCTCTAATTTGGAAAGATTCTAATTTTGTGAGCCTGAAAGAAAATAGTGCATATTTTCTTTTCCTTGATATTTCTCCAACCTTTTTCAAACAAGGGAAAATCCTTTCCCTTAATATTTTACTAACATATTTTCTTTCCTTCAAAAATATTCCCATTTCAAAACAAAGGCTTAGAAAAGGGAAAAAAAAAAAATAAAAAGGAAAGGAGATATACAGAAATTTGAGGTCCATAGGTTGAAAATACTCCATAACATTGATCCACATGAGGATATTTTGCATAGATCTGCAAGTTTATTTCAGAAGCAAGAAGCAGCATTAGACATCTGCGTTAAAACTAATTTGGAATACTATACAAATTGAAATTGTTAATTCCAAAATAAGAATACCATGGACGGACTGAATCCAAGGTCAATATGAGTACAATGTTCTGGCAGAGCTTTCTGCAGAGACATTGCTGTCTGAGGAGACTTTTGTCCACCATTGGAGGTTTTGCAGTCACCTGAATAAAACATGAGTGGTCAACATATGAATCCATGCAAAGTTTTAAACCTTTATACAAGAGCCGGCTTAATATATATGAATCCATGCAAAGTTACAGTTCAAGTATCAATGACCTTATACCACTCGTCCTAAAGATCTAAGCAAGCTAAAATAAACCTCCAAATAACATCCCAAGCTGAAACCAACAGCCAGAAAAAATGTAAAATCTTTCAGGCAAAACAAAGAAATCCATTTTAGAAACCAGCTAAGAATGCACGAGGCTAGTTTATGATCATTCTTTCCGCTATCGAACATTATTTGATGAAATTCACTTTTCTTGTATAGGAGTTCTCTTTGAATTGAATAATATAGGTGTTTTCTTTCTTGTCACAACATGTTTTATTCGCTAGCAAAACTAATAGTATTATTTATTCCTTGTACTAGCATTTGCGTTGCCCTGTTACATATTTCAGCTCCACAAGTTCTCTCTAGAATATTTACGTTTTTGAGTTCAGGTCCCTCTGTGAATAATTTATACTTATGACTGAGATAAAAAGTCCATAAACTGCTTTGCCTCCTACTAATGAATAAATTTACCAAATCATAGCACAATCTAGTTTACTGGATTCAACTCTTAGACCTTCCAAATGCAATACAATGATATCATTGTTCTCATATCAAGAGAATTTACTCCTCTAAAGATTGGAAAAATCATACAAAACAGAAGCATAGAAGAATTCTATTTTTTACCAAACTTGACACTATTTATTGTCAAATCTTTTTTTGCACATGTAATACACTAGACTTTTGCAAGTCAAGATACTACCAAGCCTAAAAATAACTCAAAGAAGATAGCAGAACATGTTTCTATGCCTTTAGAGAACTTATATTTCTGTAATCCACTGAAAATGTAACCAATATTTAAAAAATTTACAAAATTGCAGACAACTAAAGAAGAGATTACCAGAAAACATAGTGAACTGAGTGGTATTCCCTTTATCTATGTCTAGCCCTTGCTCAGTGCCGCGCCGAGCTTGCTTCATAGCAGTAACTTGATCTCCTCCAATTGATTGCTCCATTGATGAAAGCTTGAATGATCCAAAAGATTCACCGTAAGCAGATTGAGGTCCAAGATTACTCCACCAAGGTATTGATGGGACTGATGACAGTTGCCCAATTGGATTATGAACAATCCCATCATTTTCTTTGAAAAACAGAGTTTTCACAGCCATTAACACCTTCAAAATGATTTCAATAGGCTATTTCTTGATATTGTTCAAATTAATGTCTGCAATCTGTACAATATAATCAAAATTCCAACTAATATTCTGCAATTTTCTTCTTCAAGAAAGTATGCTTCAAAATCAAATGAGTCATAAAATGGAAAACAACCAATTTCATTGATCTGGGTTTGAATAACCACAGTAAATTACAAAACTAAAACAAGTAGAAAAATAAAAACTTGGAAAAGAGAAAAAAAGAAAGAAAACAAATATAGCTAAATATCAGACTCTATTACAACAATCAATTTTGCATAAAACAAAACCAAACAAAAATTTAAAATTTAAAACTAAAACAAAGAAACAGTAACAAATGATGAATTTAGAATACAGGGGAAAAAGAGAAGATAAATGGAAGAAACCCAAGTATTAGAGTGAAAAGACACTGACAAAAGGACCAGATACTTCAGTTAAGAAATCGGAATAAACATTGAAAAGAATTAACATAATAGTGAGACAACAGATTTCTGATAAAAGAGAGAAAGCTGAAAGAAAGAGTAACAGATGGAAGATGGGAGGGAACTCACGTAAGGGTAGCAGAGAAAGCAGCAGCTTCAAGAAAGTCCTACGGAAACAGAGGAAGTGAGAAACCCCATTTGTTAGGAGCCATGTCGGTTCAATTTCAACCAAAAACAAAAAGAACAAGGCAGAGAAGGAGAGAGGGAGAGAGACAGAGAAGGGGAAATGTAAATGCATACAAGTGTGATAGAACTACAGGCCAGCCACCAATAAGCTTTAGCTTTCATGCCAGTCTTTTGTACTACATGCAATAGCGTTACTATATAACATTACATTATTGTTAAAAACAATATATACTACGAGCACCTGTCAGTAACTAAGTGTTGCTCCTTAATAAACTAATAAATATAAAAAAGATTAAATTCAGATGCAAATTTCATAAATGATAATAATAATATTTAAATTTCATAAATAAGAATATGATATATTATAAACTTACATAAAGACATAAATTTTTTGAAAATTGAAAAAAGAGATTCGATCATAAATCTATTATTATGTCATATATTAATATAAATATAATTTCTTTTCAACATCTCAATAGTATCATGCATAAATACATGTATTTTCTTATTCTTTAATATTAAGTCTTCTCCCACTTACAAAATTGTTAAATTTCCATAGATTTGGATGCAGATTTGAGACGTTTGTTGTCGTTTTGTACAAATCAGCTGCTTTAATATTTTAATATATAAAATTGAAAAAGGAAAAACAAATCTCTCAATTTTTTTAGTAGTCCAAGGTTGAGGCTCCTACTGCTAGATTATTATTATTATTGTTATACTTAAAAAAGATCTAAAAATAGGGTTCTTGATGGCTGTGGGTACAAGCAGCTGGAATGGAGTAACTGCTTGCCATCTATATATGGTAATCTTGTAACTGTCTAGCTTTTCTAAATTAATACAAGTGGGTTACAGATAATTACTTTACAAAGGTTAAGTGGTTTTTGCATGCTCAACACTAAGGTTGTTGATGTGTAAAATTAATAATATATATACATATGCTGGGTGGTGATCACCTTTTTTTTTTCCTTTTCCTTTTATTTTATAAAGCAGAAGAAAGCTTGAGGATGTCCTTTTTAATTTTTTTTTTTTTTTGGGTGGAGGAGAGGAATTAAAACATACCATACTACTATATTATATCTTGCGTTTTGTTTAAGCTATTTGAACACTAAATGTTTTCAATTTTCTCATTATTATACAAATAGTTTCATTTAGTTTCAAATTAATAAAACATTTAAAGTAGCTTAGGACTTTTGTATACTTCCACTGGGATATTGTAAAGGAAAACAATATGATAAATTTATCTAGACGAGTTTGTAAAAGGGTTTTTTTTTTTTTTTTTTTTAGGAAAGACAATGATGATAAATTATCTAGACGGAGTTTGTAAAAGGGTTTTTTTTTTTTTTGTAAAAGGGTTTTTTTTTTTTTTTTTTTCTAGATATAAACTATAAATAAATGGAGTTCATGCCGTAGAGCTTAAAAATTTTTAACCCTCACAGTAAATATACTTTTTAGAAATCGAACTTATGTTTTTACTTTTATAAGGACTCGTGTCATTACTATTTAACTAACACTTTATTGGTAGTTAAATTTTTATTTTCTCTGTCGCTAATATGTTTATATATTGAAAGATGGCTTTTCTCTTTATAACTTTACTTACTGATTACGTGTTTAAGTCATATCTTGCTAACTTGAAGTATAATTAAACACCGTATGGTTCAACTCCAAAAATTTAAACAACAAAATGAAGAACATTAGCTATTAGTTAATTAATTAAACCTTATAATTTCCAAATGATAGATTGCCCAAGTCAATAATTTTTTTCTCACAAGTCAAATTTGATGTCATACGCATTGAGTCGGTTGGTAGATGGGAGTAAGACAAATCTTGTTGGAGGTTAAATGCAAAAATAATAGGTTTACCAATATTAGAAAATAAATATATTTTCGATCAAATGGTGGTTTGGTTGGTCTTCTTATTTGTGTGAGAAGTAAGAAGTTTCAAGTTCGAGTCCTCACAACCATAGGTGTTTTTACCAGTTTATAAACCAAAGAGAGGGATATCTCTGTTGAATAGTTCACACTCTTATTAATTTCGGTCCATAAAAGCTTCCGATGAATTTAAAAAAAAAATACATTGCGGGCTTATATTCCAACAAATTTGTCTGATATAAAAATTTTATTTAATTTGTTTTTATTCGATGATATTAATGCTTTTGTCCAAGTATTTTGGAGAAACTTATTAAACTATAAAAACTAACTCTTTCTTCTTACAATTGAGTCAAAATCAAGGATTTGTATGCAATTTTCTATATAGTCAAAATTGGGAATCTTGAACATTATTGGGAGAGGTTAAATAGGAAGCTACAAATCAGAATAGAGAAAATGATCTCTACAGTACAAATGGCTATGCCGGCTAATATCCAACATTGTCTTTCCCTGCTAGGTACTATAATATTTCACAACTGTTTTTGTTGTTATTCTATCATATTTTTACTAGCTTTAACTCAATTTATTTGGAAATCCACAATTGACAATTAACTAAAAAGTTACCCAACCATTTACGAATTCATATAAAATTTGTCTGAAAATATAGTAATTAACCTTTACTGGTATAATAATCCAATAGCAAAATTAATAATATTTTTGAAATTGCTATTATTGATGGTTAAACGTCCTTTTCTTTTAGGAATTTTCGATGTATATTAAAAGGGATATACATATTTAATGAACTATTCAGCTGAGTTATTCAATTTGTTTAACTATATTGAAAAATCAGCTGATATAAAATTAATATTAAAGTAATAAGTTTGATCGACATGTCCAATTCAATTTTTAAATAGTTGAACAAAAAAAAAGAACAATTTTAATTGATGTAATTATTAAATAATCATGCTTACGCCACGATTGACTCGTAAGGAAAAAACGCTCTCAGAGGATATATATATAATATATATATATATATATATATTATTATATAATATATATATTATATATTAGTGACAAAGTTAATTGAAAGATGAGGGATCCAGCTGTAAGAAAAGATTGAGCTTCTATGTTTCTTTCTTTCTTTTCACTTTATTTATTAGGCTAACCCTAAAGATTTTTCTCTTCTCATAGTCAAATGGGTCATTGATTAAAAGAAATACTTTTCCAAGTAAGATAGAAATGAAAAGAAAGAATTGAAGGCATATAATTAATTAATTAGAACAAGAATGTAACAATCAAATTAAAATTTTTTTAAACTCTAGTGGTCCAGATTGATTTGAGTTAGTGCAGGTAGGAATACAGACTGAGTCCTCAAGAAATGGAAAGCAAGTATTGTATTTAGGTCCACAAATCTTTCACTTTTATTCCTTCTTTATCATTTGATTTTCAGTTATGTCCAATTTAGCAGGTAAAGTTAGCTTTGGATTGAACAAATGATAGAAAGAACCGGACAAAAGCTTCACTGTCTTTACACAATGAGCCATGGGCTCCAAGCTGGAAAACAAAATTTGATGTGCATATCTTTGGTGACTTAGACATCTAAGCTTGTTTCTGTCTTGGTTATATGTAGCTAAGTAGGTTCTAGTTCCATCATATTGATTATGAAAGTTATTAATTTAAAAAAAATTAAAAGAAAGATTATCAGTTTAAATCATAGATAGGTATAAGTTTATTAGTCTTGTATATATAAGTCTTTCATATTTAACAAAAATCTAATAAAAATATCATTTCATAATTTATCTTATTCATGTATATATATATATGAAGAAGATAAATTATGAAATGATATTTTTATTAGATTTTTGTTAAATATGAAAGACTTCTTTATTTAGAATTAACGAAGAAAACTATACGAAATAAAGACAATAAATTAAAATATTTCAATGATGAATACTTATTACACACTAAAATATAGTTTAATGATAAATATATATACAAACTGAAATTCAGTTCGAATATCTCTTCTCTATTATTTAAAAAATAAAAAGATAAATGGAATAGAGACAAATTACAAGGCCACATTTTAGAAGAAAGGGGCAATTGACCCCTTCTATTTAAAAGAAAACATTCTCCGAGATTTGAACCTTGGCCTAAGGAATTATTAAAACACTTTAATCATTTTATCCCTTCCATCTTTTTGTAGTATTCTCTTAATAAAATTTTAATTTGTTTAAGAATTAATTAGATCAAACTTCAAGGATCAAATATTAATTTGTCCAAAAATATAAAGTAAATGGTAAAAAGAGAAAAATTTTGAAGCTGCGGCCTAAAAGTTTTCTAAGATTGGTAAATGAAGTAGAACTTCTGCAACAAGAAAACAGAGTAATTATTTATTCCTTAATTTTCTTTTCCTGCTTTCACTTGCTTTGCTTCTATAGTTTAATTAATTAAGGTTGTTGATCCAAATTGACTTATCAGGAAAAAGTTCATTAAGGAAAATTCACAAATTAATTATTATTATTTATTATTTATTCACAAATGGATTGGATTTTCTATCCATTTTACCGTACATTCTATGGTTCTTAGCAAAATTTAGTAGTGGAGACTTTTTTTTTTTAATTTATTTTAAGCAAACTAAAGTGGTCCAAACAAGCCATTCACTCACTCTTTTAGGTCTTGATTGCATTTTTTAATACCCCTAATTCCTTTTACTTAATTTCCTTTGTGGTCTCCTTTGTAGGAGAGAGATATTCTTTTAAATTTAGAAAGTTATAATCTATTTTATTTGGTCCATTTTAGTAATTAAATTTTATATTAAAATTTGGGATTTTATTTGTAACCACAATCACACAAATTTGAAAATTTAACTTTTTTGATAAAATTTTAAGAAGAGTGTATTGGATTAAGAGTCTGTTAGATTTTAAAAGATTTTAAAATTTCAATGGTATTTAATCTAGATTCTTTTAGAGTCTATCAAAATTTTGTGATATTCAATTCAGACTCTTATAAAAATTCAATTCAGGCACTCTTATAAAATCTATAAAAACAAATCTGAGGTATTCGAATTATGAACTTTTATGACTTTTTAAAAGTCCATACAAATTTGATAGTATTTAAAAAATTAATGATTTGGAAGGATTTTATAAAATTATTGATTTCGTTGGATTTTAGAGTGTTATGTATGAAAAAAAGAGTCATTCACAAATTCATCCTCCAACTCAAAAATTTTAAAAATCTTTTAAAATCTAAC